AATAGAAATATCTGTTTACAGTATCTACTATACTTATAATAAATCTGTAGAGAGGTCAATTCTGTACATGAAATATATTTTCAAAATAACTATCAGGGGGTGATTAGTGATCGATACTGATGCCAAAAATGCAATCAGTAAAATTTTTGTCCGTCTGTCTGTATGTTCCTTATAGAAACAAAAACTACTTGCAAAATTCCCACGGGAACGGGAGTTAGCGGGAAAAAACATTTGTATGAAAAATCTGAACCGCGTAAGATAGATGAAGGGGGTAAAACCACAGAATAATAATAAGTACTACCAGACCTGTTCATCTCCGCGAGTTTACATTGAAAACAAAACACGCACGATGGCCCACCTACAGTATACTATTCGACAAGGCCTCACATATGAGCGAACATTGACTCACGCACCCGTATTCTTGTGTATCATCATTCATCATCATTTCAGCCACATGACGTCCACTGCTGAACATAGGCCTCCCCCAATGACTTCCATATCGCACGGTTGGTAGCGGCCTGCATCCAGCGCCTTCCTGCTACCTTTATCAGGTCGTCGGTCCACCTTGTGGGTGGACGTCCCACGCTGCGTTTTCCGGTATTACAGACCCATCTCGGTTCTGAGCCATGTTTACAAGCTGTTTTCGAGAGTCATCACGAATCGTCTCGCACGTAGGTTCGATGACTTCCAGCCTCCCGAACAAGCCGGTTTCCGGAAAGGTTATAGTACCATAGACCACATCCATACGCTGCGGCAGGTTATACAGAAGACTAAAGAGTATAACTTGCCACTATGCTTGGCGTTCGTGGACTATGAGAAGGCCTTTGATTCGATTGAGACGTGGGCAGTGCTGCAGTCTCTCCAGCGGTGCCGTATCGACTATCGGTACATCGAGGTACTAAAGTGCTTGTACAAAAACGCCACCATGTCGGTCCGAGTACAGGAGCAAAGCACGAGGGCGATTCCTCTACAGCGAGACGTAAGACAGGGAAATGTTATATCTCCGAAATTCTTGTGTATGATGGAAGAAAATAAAAAAATGGTGTACTAAATTCTGTGCAGTATTTAACTGCCTAAATAATAATAAAAACACAGAATGTACTTTTTTAAGTTGCCTCAAGACACTGAGAGGTAAATAAGTAGTTAATATTATTCATGATAATTCATGCTAAATCATGTATTTCCTCCGCCATTTTCCGCAGTTTGGCACCTCACGTCACATCATTTTACCGAAGTCAGCCCTATAGCTTCGGCGAAGTGCGGATCACTGACGTTTGTCAACAAAATGGTGTTTGACTATTGAGACAGGCTAAATTACACCATATTGTTAATGACATTGAGCATACATTTTTTTAAATACCTTCGCGAAGTAAAACTTCTGTACGTAGTACTTATTATTATTCTGTGGTAAAAAAGTACATTCTGTGTTTTTATTATTATTTAGGCATTTAAATACTGCACAGTATTTAGTACACCATTTTCTTTATTTTCTTCCATCATACACAAGAACACGCGTGCGTGAGTCAATGTTCGCTCGTATGTGAGGCCTTGTCGAAAAGTATCCTGTAGGTGGGCCATCGTGCGTGTTTTGTTTTCAATGTAAACTCGCGGAGATGAACAGGCCTGGTAAAACGGGATCCACGCGTACGAAGTCGCGGGCGGCCGCTAGTAAAATATAAAAAAAATGTGTATTGTACTTATACATTATGCAGCAATAGCATACATGAAAGATGCACCAGTACACTTATTAGAAACACATACACGATGGTCCCACCCACTTCACAAGACAAGTGTATTTTAATAAGCCTGCACAGTGCTACATAAACATTAAAAAATTCACCGCGCACTCAAAACTACTCGTTGTTACATGAAAAATTCATACTACAGGCAATTAGGCATTCAAGTTTCGAAATTAGGTCCTAATCCATGCGGTGAGGAGCAGGCGCGTGCCTCGCGGGTGCTCTTGCACACGTATCTTGCTAATAATGCCGCGAGCACTTGCTTGCCTTGAATATTCATGAGAACTTAGGCTGGAAAACAGTGATGTTTTGAGGAAGACACATGTTTATCATGCTAGAAGTACCACTCGACTCATGTGAGACATATGCAAAACCACGTTGGTGTCTCTACATTATAAGTATTTGTGGCATCGTTTGTAAAAATCACTAAAAAATAGTTGATGGATTCCTACGCGGGAAATCAGCCGACTCTTGAAAACATCTACTGCGAGTAAATAAGTAAAAAGAATACTGAATCAATCCACCAAAAACTAGATATCCCTATTCAATTTCCAGAAATACTAATAATTAGGTGAATCATACTNTTGATTTTTTTTGACATACTCGTAGAGATAAGCAATGGAAGAAAATCTTCCTGACTTACTTCAGACATTAATTCGCATCTTTAAACAAAGTAGGTAAAATGGGTGATCACTGGCGCACAGACTGATTGAAATTTATTCTTTCTGAAATATTTTTTAAATATACAGTTATTTCTAAAACACCAGCAACCTCCCTAGACTAGATAGAACATCATATGCGATTGATGACTGATGCTGATACGCATATCCATATTAGTTCAGATGGATTTGGATTAGAAATATATCTGACAGTTAATGTCACTGGTAAACCGAAAAAAACCCTTTATTTCATTAGCTGGTAGCTAACTAAATTGTGCAATTACGGGACAAGATCAGCGATATCAATGTAGAGACAACTTTTTAAGAACGGCGCGGTGTAGCATATTCATCACAGAGTTACTGCAATGTTTTAAAAGTCACAGTAATTTACGTTTTGAGAAAAAACATCTCTCCTTTGAATAAATAAGGTGCGTTCGCTAATTACTAAAAAGTTTCCAAAAACATTTATCAATAGTTTTTGTCAAACAAAAATAACAAAACTTGGGTATTAAAAACAGTTTACAGATGTTTCATTGTGATTGTTATTTAGTTTTAACTAGGTACATAAGTATTTATTTATTGCGGTCACAAATAACATAGATTGCGGCCGCACAAGGCCTCCTCCGTGACCGCGCGATACTGGCCATCAAGAAAACTGCGTTCTTTTCTCGACGACCAATTTATTTCAATATTCTTTTGTTTTTCTTTCGCTGTTTTCTCTAGCTTTTTGTCGTATTATGTATTTTCACGATCGAACGTTGTCCACTTGGCACGAAATACAAGATTAGCCCATCGTGCATCGTGTCCAACCCAAGGAAATACGCGTTGGGTAGAAAGTTGGAAAACGGTTTGGGTAAGGGATAATAAATTATTATCTTAACTTAAAATAATTGATCGGAAGTCCCACTGAAAAAACTAGGTTTTACCATTGAGATATAATATTACTTCAATGGGCTTTTCAGGTAAAGTGCGGAATAACTCTCCCCTATATTTATCACTAGCTTTTGCCCGCGGCTTCACTCGCGTGAAATTTCGCTTGTCACAGATCGTCATAAATTATAGCCTATATGTTATTCTGAGTTATAAACAATAATACTGTAAAGTTTCATCAAAATCCGTTCAGTAGTTTTTGCGTGAAAGAGTAACAAACATACAGACATCCAAACTTTCGCATTTATAATTATTATTAGTAGGATTAAATTATCTTCCTTACCTTCCTTGTTTGCACTAAAAAATTAACTTTTTGAAAGTGCGCACTTTTGTCAACGTTAATAAATTGTTCGAAAATCAAATTGCGCGGGTATTGTAGGTATAATAATTACAATGCAAAATATTACAGCACAGTATAATTAATTTAATTGCATTGAATTGTTTTTTCTCAATATAATAAACGTGGTTATGTAATTTAACGTAGTATCAGGCCTGTTCATCTCCGCGAGTTTACATCGAAAACAAAACACGCACGATGGCCCACCTACAGGATACTATTCGACAAGGCCTCACATATGAGCGAACATTGACTCACGCACGGCTATTCTTGTGTATGATGGTAGAAAATAAAGAAAATGGTGTACTAAATACTGTGCAGTATTTAACTGCCTAAATAATAATAAAAACACAGAATGTACTTTTTAAGTTGCCTCAAGACACTGAGAGGTAAATAAGTAGTTAATAATATTATTCATGATAATTCATGCTAAATCATGTATTTCCTCCGCNAATAAAAACACAGAATGTACTTTTTAAGTTGCCTCAAGACACTGAGAGTGAAATAAGTAGTTAATAATATTATTCATGATAATTCATGCTAAATCATGTATTTCCTCCGCTATTTTCCGCAGTTTGGCACCTCACGTCACATCATTTTACCGAAGTCAGCCCTATAGCTTCGGCGCAGTGCCGATCACTGACGTTTGTCAAGAAAATGGTGCTTGACTCTTGAGACAGGCTAAATTACACCATATTGTTAATGACATTGAGCATACATTTTTTTAAATACCTTCGCGAAGTAAAACTTCTGTACGTAGTACTTATTATTATTCTGTGGTAGTATCTAAATGATGATGATGCTGTATTTATCTTCTGAAAATTAAATATGTAACGCTATAATATTTTAACTTTATTTGTTAGATTTTTTCTTACGAATTAAACCAAATTATCATTCATTACTTTCACACACGATTTCTTAGTGACCGTAACTCTGCCGTCAATGCGTTTACGCCATTAGTTTTCCACGGAACTCGAAGGAAATAAACGCGCTTAGTTACTTATTTGTTAAGTAGGTAAAGAACCCGTTAATTAGTTTGTGATTAATTTGGAATATATTCGTTACTACGACACAATTGTATTTCGCCCTACAACCTACTATTTTAAATAAAGTTCTGTTCGGTGCTATTATTCCCAGCTCATAAAATAAAATGATCTGGATTCAGTAATTAACTAACGATTGAACAGAGGGGTGTCTTTAACTTATTTATTATACGGGCTATAATACGTAATTTCAACACGGACGATTTTATTTACAAATCAGTCTTGCTTAACTCTTTCTCTCAACTTTTTGTAACAAGTTAGATAGTTTAATAAGCAAGTTTTAGAAACGTACCAATCAGCTGCGCAGCGCCGGGCCGCAGCACGTCGCCCAGCAAGTCTTTGATCAGGAAGGACTTGTGGCTGTCCTGCATTCTACAATCCATTACACTTTCTATTCAAAAACCATGCATTTTAACTAAATATTATGGTACCAGAAGTTTTGAAAGTTAACACAAAGAATTCAAAAAGTGAAATATTAGATAACACTATTTTATTATTATTTAATTTACGGTTGCAAATATTAAAAACCTATCAATATTATAATTATGCTCAATACTTTTTAGCAGCCGTCAAAAACGGACCGTGCGCTTGCACTTTCCCGCGCATCCGAGATGACTGTCCGCCATTTTCGAAAAATCGTCGTTCATTCGAGAAAATCTTTTCATTTAGCTACGCCCTACCCCTAACCGATGTTACATACATTTTCTTGCGGTTTTAGGCCAAAACACCGCTTAAACGGGCTTTAAATCGCGTTTAGCATGCGCAGAGCGAAGCGGGCGGGGCCTCAGGCTCCTCCCCGCTGCTCCCGCGCCAATCGTAGCGAGGGAACAAACTTTTACAGCCGAACGGTTTGTAAAGTACGCATTGAAACGAGGGTTTAGACTTGTAGTTATTGAGTTGGTTTTTAAAAGACCGTTTTGAATGTAAATCGAAAAGTTAGCGAGGTAAAGAGGCTGCCCGCGGATCTCCAATTAAATTGATAGTTGCTCGTCAAGTGGATCGCTCGGGTCGAGGGATGAAGAGTTCCTTTCTTCGTTCGTGTTCCGACGTAAGTATGTCGGATCGCGTTTTCTTTTTGGGAGATAATTGGTTTTTGGTGGTTCCATTTAGATTCTCAAATTGAAAGAGTAAATACATAGTAGGTACGCTCTATATTTTTAATACATTAATAAGAAATACTTTTAAATCAGATTTTTTTTTGTATTTGGGAGTTTTGTAGCTTTTTATTTGTGTTTATGTATTCAGAAAATAAAGATGCAGCCATTTTAAAAAAAAAAACACTGCGCTAGGTATGGCTAGGTGGACATCACGTCAGGAATAAAGCGGTAGGTACCTACCTGATACCTAGGTTATTATTCCTCTAAAGGTACAAGTTGGAAGCGGTCGACATGAGGTAGCAGCAGACGACGCCAAGGCGTGTCGCAGTGACACTACTGGTTTCTATGTATTTCTATGAAATACCATTCGTAGTAACTTAGTAAGCGACACGTCGCTTGGAAGTATTTCATAAAAATCCATAGAAAGTGATGCTGCCGCTGCGTGCAGTCGGCTACGAACTTGTACCTTAAATTAGTGACCGACCGAATATTCGTTTTCGTTTTCGTTTACGGCCATTTTCGGCCAAAAAATGGACATTCGGCCATATTTTCGTTTTCGGCCAAAAACCAGCCGAAGCTTCGGCCAAACCGAATATCAGAAATACGTGAATAAGATGGTGACGTTTATCGTTCCGATATCTTCGGGAGTGAATCTGGTGCACTCATGGTTCCAATCAGACTTGAACGGACGCGGTATTGTCACACTCTTTTGAAGTTGTGAAATAAGGTTACGTTGTAAAGGGTGTCCAGAGATAATTTTCCAAGTTCAAAATAGAATACAAATAAAACCAAAGCGTTTTCATTAATTTTAATTGTTTCAAAATAGAGTCTTATGCGGATTTGAAATACGCCATGAGTCACTGGTCGGGAGCCTACAGAGCGTTCGCAGTTGAACAATAAGTATTTGAAATGTATTGTCAAATGATCGATGAATGTCTGATACCACAACTGCATCCCGGTCAACTACGTAACTCTATTTCAGCAAGAAGGTGTCTCACCACACACGGAGAGTACCTCGATGGAGACACTGAAGACTATATTTTTTTTTTCAAATAAATGATCAGCAAGTACCTACAGGGACATACCCTAGCTGCTTCGGTCACCAGATCTCACACCATGCGACTTTTTCTTGTGGGATATCTCAAGTCAAATGTTTACAGCAAAGAATCTTTAAATAATTCAGGTTCTGTAAGAAAATATCCGCCGTGAAGTTGCAGGAAAATTATTACGCGATTTGCTCTCGCATAGTTGCCTATAGTAAAACGGGCATCATTTAAAAGACATTGCCTATAAAAAATTAAATCCGCATTGTTAAACTCCAGTTTGCATTAGTAATAAATAATAAAAAATCATTAATTTATTTGTATTTATTTTTGAAGTTGAAAAATTCCCACTGGACACCCTTTATTTCTTCTTCACTTCCCAATATTTCATTATACACCGGAAATAATATTCTACTAAGAAATTCATATTTTTTTTTTGTTTTAATGCCGGTTTTCTTTAATCAATCCTTATCAAAATCAACTGTCAAACGTCATTATGTTTTTGGACAAAACATTAACGGTTTTAAAAGTTTTCACATAATTTCAGATTGAAATTTGAGAGTTGAAGGTCATTTTCGTTTTCGTTTTCGGCCGAAAATGAGACTGCATCCGAAGCTTCGTTTTCGTTTCCGTTTTCGGTTGAAAATCCATATTCGGTCGGACACTAACCTTAATTCTATTGTGTTGTGTGCTACCTATATTTGGTGAGCTGAATGAAGTCTCCGACCGGCTGTGATTTGCGCCGGTACTTACCTACTTAGACCACAGGTTAGACTGACTTAGCTTCAGTCTGTCACACATTACGCGTACGTAAGTAAGCGGTGTCTGTGTGCGAAACTCGAGCGCGCTTAATATGGAGTTTACCTTCTGTCATATTTTGTGGTATTGTTCATAAACGAACATGAACATGAACGAATTCCATAAAAGCTTAGATCACTGTGCGAGACAAAGAGCAAATTGTTTCCACCGCGTTATTAACAGAACAGCGACAGACAGTAAGTGTCTAATCTAAGTAGGTACTATAAATTGCAAAGTCGCATCTATTTTTCAACAATGTAAATTGCTAAGTAGTCTTTTTTTATTTGTATGCTTAGTCCTACTAATATTATAAATACGAAAGTTTGTGTGGATGTTTGTTGCTCTTTCACGCAAAAACTACTGAACGAATTTTGTTGAAACTTCACAGTATTATTGTTTATAATATATGACGTTATGTGACAAACTGAATTGCACGCGGGTGAAGCCGCGGGCATTTGTTATAACGTCGTAGTCGTGTATAGTCTGTATTTTAAAATAGTAGCCTACATCTCTGCTTATAAAATAAGCACCTTTTATTTATTTGACTTCTCAAAAGTTCTCAAAGTATTGCCGCTTGTTGTCTGGCAGGGCAACGAATATATCCCACACGATAAAAAGATATTATTGTTACGTCAATCAATTACCTAATATTTATGTTGTAATAATTTGTCCTTTGTTGGATCTACATAATTATAAAACTACTGCAATAAGTAATATAAATAATACAAGTATTTGTGATCATACCTTCATAGTAGGCTTCGCCCGCGTGGATTTTGAACTGTCTCAGAAAGTCCTCATTGCACACGCGTTTCTCCCAATCCAAAATGACATCCAGATAGTAGTGGTATTTAATAATAATTTATGTAACACAATGCTAACTTACACTAAAATAAGTGATAAAAACCTGAAGGCACTGACCAAGCAACCACTATCACTTTGCCCGGCGGCCATTATTGAAATTCGAATTTAGAACTTCCAAATCTTTGAAAACACACCGCGTTGTTGTTTTGTTTTTTTTTTAAGATAAAGACGTAGGGTGCCATGAATACAGCCAATTTCTTCAGTATTTTTTTGTTTGACCAAAATAATTAAAAAAAAAAATTTGTACCCACAATAGCCGAACTATGAACGGATCGGACTGGCCGGCTCGACAACCAAGGAACGCTGGTTCGGGGTGCCTAGTGTGAGTTTACGTCAAACGCATTCGATGTCCGACCGCATAAAAAAGTGACAATAAATGTATGACGGATTGTATAGCGCCCCTAGCGGAAACGTTCAAGAACTAAAATTTTCATACATTTTTTTAACGCGCTTACTAGTGAGGACGTTTGATATAAACTCACACTCAGCCCACTGACCCTGTCGCCGCTCGACTATTGTGGTGAACCCACTCGTAACACAAGCGCTTAATATTTAGCTCAGTAGTCAGCGTTAAACATTTCGTGACATTCAAAGTAGGTAGCCAAAGAGTTGACAACTGAACATATGTAATCTACTATACAGGGTGTTTCTTGTAAGGTGTCAAGCCGAAGGCTAAAAATCGTAGAACATACATGGGGGTGAAATCGATCGGTCTAGTCCTCACCTATCACCTGCCTTCGGCTTGACACCTTACAAGAAACACCCTGTATAAAAATAAGTCGGGTTTTCCTCCCTGACTCTAACTCCAGAACGCACGAACCGATTTCCACGGTTTTGCATTCGTTGGAAAGGTCTCGGGCTCCGTGAGGTTTATAGTAAAGAAAATTCAGGAAAAATTTAAAGGGGATAAAACAGGATCCACGCGTACGAAGTCGCGGGCGGCCGCTAGTAATGAACTAAAAGACTTGTTGTCAACTTTTTGGCCACTTTCGGCGTTACGAATTATTTGACGCTGACTGTACGAGGGGTTAACGGGCTATTAAATAGTTATTTTGTTTCAAATATTATCCTCTATTCAATAAAAAATATGATGTGAATTTGGAACGTATCACTTAGGAAAAAATATCTTTTGAGATCTGTAAAAAAATGGAACTAGCCATTGAAAACTTTAATGTTCCCATCTCTATTAGTCACTTAGTTTTCGCCATTATTACCTTTCTTTCATGAAGAAAACGAAAAAAAAGGAGATAGACGACACAAATTAAAAATACCATTTGGAAAAATATCAATTTATTTATTCATAATTAGTAAACGGAATTGATTAGCAATAACTAGTGCTGTATTACAGCGGCGAGAACTGGATCATGCTCTTGATGTCTTTGAGGAGCACTTCGAGGAAACTGCGCTGTGCGGCTGGCTGGTTCTGCAATAAAAAATATATTATTTATCTACCAAAGCTAAAATGAACCGATTAAAACGTTGATGCGATGACATTTAGGAAGTCAATCAAGACTATGTAATGCCGACTACAACACAAAGTTGTTTGTGAAGATGCACAAAAATATTGCGTGGTATGTCATTTGTAATATTTGTGCAAATATTTTAAACGTATGAAAAGTTGTATAAAAGCGTTATGTTCATACATTGTACTCGCTTTTTGTGCAATAAATTGTTCTAGAAATATTTGCGAAACACGTACGTGAAATCGTAACTGCAAAGAGTACAACAATCCAAGAATATTTGTACAAATATCATGACGAACATCTTGACGTGTATATGACAACATACTGGCATAGCAACTACGTTTTTTAAAGAGAAGACTGCGTGGCACTCGTAGCAATATGAATGTTAACAAATACTACATTAGAATCTTAGCCCAAAGACCGAAAAACGATAAAATAATAAAGTATACAGGGTGACTGGAACTGGACCCGCCATAATGAATTCCCGTGTAGAGAATTAGAGAATATCGTTTGCGAATTAATGGTTCAGTTACATTTACCCAGTGGCGGCCCCCACCCACCCGTATCATGACATAGACCGCAGACTTGCCATGCAGATGTGCCAGTGAGTACTAATCTGCGCGACTTGTGTCACCCCCTGATGCCTGGCACCCGGGGCGGTCCGCCCCCACCGCCCCCCCCTTACGCCGCTACTGCATTTACCCTGTATAATATGACTGGCTTTCCGCCCGCGGCTTCGCCCGCGTGGAATTTTGTCTGTCACAGAAAAACTTTATCGCGCGCGTCCCTGTTTCAAAAACCGAGATAAAAACTATCCTATGTCCTTTCCCGGGACTCAAACTATCTTAATGCTAAAATTCAGGCGTAAAAGCGAGACAGATAGACAGAGTTACTTTCGCATTTATAATATTAGTATAGATAGTATAAGACAGTTTGACACCATACCCTTAAAATTCGAAACCACAACTTTTTTAAAAAGACCCTTCATTCTGTTCTTAAAAAATTAATTAATTTTAAATTACCGGTAAATTGCGATTTTTGTTCGCATTGTAATTAAAAAAAGTAGTTTGATTGAGTTGACAAAATAGTGACGTCACTTGCTTGTAGTGCCATACAAAATCTATGGGAGAGTTTCGTTTTGACAGTTTTAAAAAGTATGTCAATTGATTGGTGGTGTCAACATGTCTATTTACAGCTGTCGGTATTTACCTTGGCGTTGTCGAGCAGGTCGTCGGTGAAGCGGTCGCTGAACACGCCCACGAGTCCCTTGCGCAGCTCCACCAGCTCGTCGCCGCCCGCGCCGCGCCACGCGCTACCCAGCGTTAATGCTGCAAGAGTTACGGCAACTTTCAAATCTGCTCATGGTAAGACATTTAATCTTGTGATTGGGTTGTAGTGTAATATGGACAATAAATTATTTCACACGTTGTACATACTACCTGTCTCGTCATGGGAAACTAATCTTGAAAGAACGAAGAAAAAGCAATAAAGTACAATTAGACATCGAAAGTCGTCAGTAAGTGCCGTTTTAACGGTGAAAACTGACTATATGAAAGAATGGAAGAACATAGTAACTTAGTGTAAAGGAAAAAGAACCTTGGTCAGCGGATTTTCTCCGGTGAATCTAGCCTACCAGCCGCCGTCTTTCAGTTACACGTGCCAGCAGCTCGTTCAATGCGCACGGACGACCCTGGTGTGTCTTAAGGGACGAAGCTTATTGACAGCATGTCAATATATCACTTACAGTGGTCATCAGAGGGTGCGGCAAGACGCAGGAACACTCTCAGATGTGCCCATAGCAAGTACAATGCCGCGTCGGCTGCTAACTGCGCCAGCGCTAACGCACGTCTCCGCTCCGCTACACGTGTCTGAAGCTCACTCACGGCGCACGCTCGTGCTTCCATTGGAGAGGAGACAGGAGTATCCTCGGAGAAGAGCTCCTAGTCATCAGGGAAAGACTCTTGACAGTATGTCAGTGTACTCACAGTGATCGTCAGATGGTGCGGCGAGGCGTAGGAAGACTCGGAGATGTGCCCACAGCAAATATAGGGCTGCGTCGGCTGCTAACCGCGCCAGCGCTAACGCACGTCTCCGCTCCGCTACACGTGCGCGAAGCTCGCTGACAGCGCACGCACGCGCCTCCATTGGAGAGGAGACTGGAGTATCCTCAGAGAGTAGCTCCTATGTCAGTTTACTTCCGCAGAGGAAGACGTGAGTGTATCCTCGGAGAGGAGCTCCTAGTCATCAGGGAACACAGCTCTTGACAGTATGTCAGTGTACTCACAGTGATCGTCAGAGGGTGCGGCGAGACGCAGGAATACTCTCAGATGTGCCCACAGCAGATATAGCGCCGCGTCGGCTGCTAACCGCGCCAGCGCCAACGCACGTCTCCGCTCCGCTACACGAGTGCGTAGCTCGCTGACAGCGCACGCACGTGCTTCCATTGGAGAGGAGACGGTAGTATCCTCAGAGAGGAGCTCCTATGTCAGAGTACTCACAGTGATCGTCAGATGGTGCGGCGAGTCGCAGGAACACTCTCAGATGCGCCCATAGCCAGTACAATGCCGCGTCAGCTGCTAACCGCGCCAGCGCTAACGCACGTCTCCGCTCCGCTACACGTGCTCGAAGCTCACTCACGGCGCACGCACGCGCTTCCGTTGGAGAGGAGACGGAAGTATCCTCGGAGAAGAGCTCCTATGTCACTGTACTCACAGTGATCGTCAGAGGGTGCGGCGAGTCGCAGGAACACTCTAAGATGCGCGCACAGCAAGTACAATGCCGCGTCGGCCGCCAGCCTTGCCAGCGCCAACGCACGTCTCCGCTCCGCTACACGTGCTCGAAGCTCACTCACGGCGCACGCGCGTGCTTCCGTAGGGAAAGACGCGAGTGTATCCTCGGAGAGGAGCTCCTATATCAGAGTACTCACAGTGATCGTCAGAGGGTGCGGCGAGACGCAGGAACACTCTCAGATGTGCCCATAGCAGATATAGCGCCGCGTCGGCCGCCAGCCGCGCCAGGGCTGTCTTTACTCCGCTACACATGCCTGAAGCTCACTCACGGCGCACGCACGTGCTTCCGCAGGGGAGGATGCGGGTGTATCCTCGGAGAAGAGCTCAGTGCAAAGAATTTTTCCTTTGCACTAAGCTACTGTGGATCTTGGTCAGCGGATTTTCTCAGATGAATCTATGCCGCAGTCTTGGGTATGAGCTCATTGACAGTATGTCAGTGTACTCACAGTGGTCATCAGAGGGTGCGGCGAGGCGCAGGAACACTCTCAGATGTGCCCATAGCAAGTACAAAGCCGCGTCGGCTGCTAACCACGCCAACGCTAACGCACGTCTTTGCTCCGCTACACATGCCTGAAGCTCGCTCACGGCGCACGCGCGCGCCACCAATGGAGAGAAGACGGGATTATCCTCAGAGAGGAGCTCCTATGTCAGTGTACTCACAGTGATCGTCAGATGGTGCGGCGAGGCGCAGAAACACTCCCAGATGTGCCCATAGCAAGTACAATGCCGCGTCAGCTGCTAACCGCACCAGCGCCAACGCACGTCTCCGCTACACATGCCTGAAGCTCGCACAACTCGCACGCGCGCGCCTCCATTTCCCTAATTGAGACTGGAGTATCCACAGAGAGGAGCTCCTATGTCAGTGTACTCACAGTGATCGTCAAAGGGTGCGGCGAGGCGCAGGAACACTCTCAGGTGTGCCCATAGCAAGTACAAAGCCGCGTCAGCTGCTAACCGCGCCAGTGCTAACGCACGTCTCCGCTCCGCTACACGTGTCTGAAGCTCACTCACGGCGCACGCTCGTGCTTCCATTGGAGAGGAGACAGGAGTATCCTCGGAGAAGAGCTCCTAGTCATCAGGGAACAGCTCTTGACAGTATGTCAGTGTACTCACAGTGATCGTCAGAGGGTGCAGCGAGACGCAGGAACACTCTCAGATGTGCCCATAGCAAGTACAAAGCCGCGTCAGCCGCCAGCCGAGCCAGTGCCAACTCACGTCTCCGCTCCGCTACACATGCTCGAAGCTCACTCACGGCGCACGCACGCGCTTCCGTTGGAGAGGAGACGGGAGTATCCTCAGAGAGGAGCTCCTATGTCAGTGTACTCACAGTGATCATCAGAGGGTGCAGCAAGTCGCAGGAACACTCTCAGATGTGCCCATAGCAAGTACAATGCCGCGTCGGCTGCTAACCGCGCCAGCGCCAACGCACGTCTCCGCTCCGCTACACGAGCCCGCAACTCGCTGACAGCGCACGCACGCGCCTCCGCTGGGGACGATGCGGGTGTATCTTCGGGGAGTAACTTCTTTATGTCTGCGGAACAAAGTAACGGATTACAATCAATTTTATTCAAAGTCAAAGCTTTTACTAATAAATTAGGCCCTTTCTAGTGCGCTTATACATGTCCCAAATATAGCTTGCCCTACCACCACTTTGGGACAACATTATGGGCTGGAGCTGAAAAGAAGTGGCGGAAGACACTCAGTGACCTTTGTCAGGTACCTTTATTGAGGGTAAAAGTTGCAGGAAGCGCCTAGATGCGGGTGGCTCAGGATTAGTCGTTATAGAAGATCCCTGGGCTTGTCCAACAGTAGACGTCTTTAGGTTCAGGTTTGATCGCTGTTAATCCCACAGTCGTATCGTGGCAGTATCTGCGCCATCAGGGACGGACCGTGAGTTTAGGGGGCTTTGGGCTAATACTACTTACTTAGGGGCCCACCTCTTTCGCATTGTCGTCTATTTTTGACTTTGACTTGACTTAGCTGGGGCCCCTTGAATCCACTGGGCACTGGGCTGAAGCTCAATAAGCCATATGGTAGATCCGGCCCTGTGCGCCACGACACTCACCGTCCAGAGTCATGGTGGGCACGGCGAGCAGCTGGTGCTGCGCCGTGTGCACGCGCTTGTCGTAGGCCTGCGCGCTGTCGCGAGCGTGTCGTAGCAACGCCAGTAGGGCTCCGAGGTGCGGGCCGGCGTCGGCGCCGCTGGCGTGCAGCGCGGGCCGGAATAACGCGCGCGTGCCGTCGTGCTCGATCATGTTGCGCGCGAACGTCAGGAGGTTGCACACGATCTGAAACGCGACAGTAGTAAATAGGAAATCCCTCATGAGCAGATATGCACAATCTGAACATTGACAAAACAATTGAATTAGGTAAACAACTTTATGAGCGCTAAACCAAGCCGGTTCATCTCCCCGAGTAGGCATCGAAAACAAAACATGCGCGGCGTACTGGCCGGCGGGTTTAATCGCGTGACATACGCGCGCGTATTCTTCACTCATTATAAAAAAAAATTCGCTATTAGAAAAAAGAAAAAAATCACGTACTAGATGGCGAGGTGACACACAGTAGCTTCTCGTAGCAGTCAGCCCTATCGCATCCGCACAGTACCGATCTACCTTACACCATTTTGTTGACGACATTGAGTAGATTTCTTTTTAAATACCTTCGCCACGAAAACTGTTCTGTACATAGTACATTATTATTCTGTGGCTAAACAAAACTCACCTTATAATACAATATGTTCTGATCCTGCTGTTGATTCGCAGGAGGCTGATTATACTGGTGCGGCGGGGGCGCAGCGAACCGCGGTATGAGCGCTAGCACGAGCGAGTGCATCCGCTGCAGCGCTGCCGAGCTGTGCTGAAGCGCTGTGTCGCCGCTGACCGCTTCGATTACAGCGTAGTCGGACGCGCGCGCTATTACTGACGTTAGAGCTTCTGCTTCAATCAGCAGTTCTTGGGGCGAGTTCGGATTGGCCGCCCTGGATAAAAAAATATTTTGAGTTATAGCAAGATTAGCTAGCTATCCCCAATAATAAGAAAGGTAGAGGAGACCCGCAGTTCACGTGGTGGACAACCTATTCTAAATATTAGAGACAAGCACAGATTGTCTTGGCGCCTTAGAAGAAGAGGACCAGCCCCAAATGGAATTGGAAAATAAACAGAAAAAGAAGAATTACACTAAAATTATATTTTATGAATTTTGTAACGCCTGCTGGCTTACCTGAGAACCATGTCGACGCACTCGGCGTGACTTAACAGTAGATGCGTGACGTGTATCACACAGCTGTGGTTCTGGGTGCCGAGGGTTGTCAGCAGCGCGTCGCATAACGCTAACGCCGGCACTAGGATTTGGCGGAATCTGTAACAAACCACCCTATGTATTTAACAGCTTTTGAAACGATGAAAAAGAGTTTACAGCAAAAGCTTCGATCAAAATTTCACTGTGTAGGACGTTCTTCAATACAGTAGAGCGGAAACTGGAGACTACATACATACATGTCATGTTCTTGTCATACTTTCTTATCTTCCAGGCATGATTATCTCTCTTCCACAAGTGGAATCATCATCACCAAATGGAACTCGGGCCGTGGAAGTGAGCTACCCCTGGAATTCTCAGAAGCATAGGTTTACCTGTTTCTGCCGGGGGACAGGGTCGTGTTTGGGACTCCCGGCGCCCTGAAAAAGGCGCTGCTCCGTCCTGAAAAGGACGGGGTATACCCACTAAAACCTCGCGTTCCGTCATCGCCCGAGTGGAAGCGTCGCGAGTATCCGGTAGCCTTAGACTTCCGCGACATTCGGTTTACCTGTTAGTCAAGGTCGCCAGCTGTGTGCTCACCTGTTGGCCACGGCGGGCACGAAGTCAGTGTGCCGCTGGGAGTCTGAAGCAGTGTGTATGTCAGGATGGCGCGAGAGGATGCTCATGTTGGCGAGGCACGAGAGAGCACCCTGCGCTAGGATGGTCTCGGCGCCGGCGCGCGTGCCAGCCAGCTTCATTAGTAGCGCCATCTTGGACTCGTATACGTAGAGGACGCGAAGGGTCTTCGGGTTCGGTTCTAAAGCCTGACGAGACAAGAAAAATCATAAAAAAATACATATTTTCTTCTCTCTTTCATCACAGGTTAGTTTAACCTAAAATTGATAAAAAAAAAAGTTCCCAAAAAAAAGGGACAATATTATTTGATCCTCTAAAAACTAATTGATCTTTTTTGTATGTGCACTTTTAAAAATAAATGATGTATTTTATTATATTTTATCTTTATATTAATTATTGGGTCTATATTAGTTGATCTACGGATAAATTATGAATGATCTTCATTTAAGGTAACATAATATTTATGTTTAACATACTCTTTTAATATTTGATAAACAAAAATAATATTTGATCCTCTTTTTTTTTTAGTTATTGATCTTTAATTTTGTTAATTTGATGATATTTATATCAAGTTTGCCTTTTAATATTGATCACCTAATAAATACATTTCGATGTATGTATAACTTAACTTTAAAATATATTTGATCTAACTAAAAATATTATCTATATATATAAAAATGAAACCCGTTTCGCGTTGTCACGGCATCACGTGTGAACGGCTGAACCGATTTCGCTAATTCTTTTTTTTAAATGTTTGTGGAAGTCCAAGGATGGTTCTTACGGAAAAAAATATTAAGAAAATCTCTACGCTAAGGCGGTACGAAGTTCGCCGGGTCAGCTAGTTGGTTAATATTTAATTTACTCGGTACTTTGTGGTTGAGTGACAATCGTCCGTCATTGGTCACTGAGTTGGCCAAGGGCTTAGCAGCCAATAAGCCAGCAGAATTTATGTACATTGCCATGTTTGTTTAAATTACTAGCTTTGCTTAGTTTGGGACTAGAGGCGCTATGTAAAATAATTTCTTACTTCTGACATCTCCGAACCCGACATCATAATTTTTACCTCTTTATTTTGTTTTCAAATCGCAAGGTTGATTTTCTCTTAGTATACCGATCTCGACCGTGATCAGTGACCATAATAAAGTCATCTGTCAACGGGTTGATTAGACACGATAAAAGCACTAAACGATATTTGTTTACTTTTAGTGCGACATCAGGTCGTAAGGACCTGATAAGTTTTTTTTTCCAAATATTTACTGTGTTTGACGAAACAATTGCAAAACAATATTTATCTTTCGTACTACTGAAAAGACCAAATATATCCATCCCGCACCAACGCATCCAGCACCTAAGGTCAATTCGACCTGATAACGCAGTGTGAACGTGATTTTTTAATAAAAAATAAATATTTGAACATCAAGTGCCTTTAAATAGTTTCCATCCTTTGACTACAAATTAATAAAAATAAGTACCATAACATAATTATTTTGAAGATTATTTGATATAGACAAAAAATAATCTATACAAATCGAATTATTTATAATAGTATCACAATGTTGAATATTTGGTGCCCATTTCTTTTATTTTTGAGGACCAACAAGTAACGATCAGATATAATTTTTACATCTCAAATTTTTTTTGCGTAGTTCAAAAGAGGTTTAAATATCGATCGATTTCATTTATTTTATGTCTCAAAGAAAGAGGATCAATCATTATAATTAAATTTTTTTAAAAATAAAACCGACTTCAAATGCTGAAACACAAAAAAAACTAAAAATTAAAAATATTGCGTATAAAAAAGTTCATCCCCAATTTTCCACCCTTGGGGGTGAAATATTTTCTTCAAATTCGCATGAAACCACCCTTTTGATAATACCTATTCAACAAAAAAATAATCGTTCAAATTTATTTATAATCGGCGGAGATATTGCGTATAAAAAAGTTCATCCCCAATTTTCCACCCTTGGGGGTTGTTTTTTCTATTATTAAATTTAAATGGGACCACCCTTGAGGTATTACCTATACGCCGAAAAAAGATTTGTTCAAATCGGTTCATAATTGGCGGAGTTATCGCGTAACAAACATAGAAAAAAAAAACATACGGGTCGAATTGAGAACCTCCTCCTTTTTTTGAAGTCGGTTGAAAATAGATGACCATTTAGATTTTTTTATTTGCCGTTTTTGCTAATTTAAAAAGATCATTTAAATACATGCCCAAAAAAAATAGTTTGTAGCTTTCTCATGTTCCCAAATTGGTAGCAACATTACTAGTAGGGCCTCCTTCACCATCTCCGACTAAAGTTCCAATTATCCTGATTACTAAAATAAGATGGATTTTAGTGTTATTCAAAGATAGTGAAATTCAATAAATTGCTACTCATGACGTTATACAATGAATAGCCAATTGGCACTTTACTCGGAATTGGTGAACGAGGCCCTAATAGTGGTATTCAAGAAACAAATAATGATTACACTACTAACCTCTTTCAACCCAGCATCATCTTGCATCAGACTGTCAATGAGACTCCTCAAATACCCTTGATTAGTCAGGGTATTCATCCAGTCCGTCTTCGGATTGATTTCCACCAGCGTATCAAGACACGACAACGCCACCATACGGCATACATCATGGCCTCCCCCTATGCAGTCGCTGCACACTATTGAACATAGGTTCTCGCCAAAACCACTTATCACATCTACCACCATTGATTTCAACGCTGACTCTTCTTTACTAGGCCTCGCTTTGGAACTGTCCAATCGACTGACGTATGTCGTGTTCAATTCCTCCTCGGGATCGGCCGGGCTTGGCTTCAAATTGACGATATTCAAGTAATTTAACAACGCTCCGTATAGATTGACGCGCATTTTTTGCGTTGAGCCACCAGAGACCAATATCCAGCTCAGAATCTTGTGTAGAATGAATTTAAGCGTCAGTGATTTTGTCTGCATAATCTGGTTTGAAGGCCCAAAAAACGACGTTTCGAATTCTGATGCGTCCATGTTCGTTTCTCTCTTCTGAAGGATGTAGCAGTGTCTCAAATTTACCAGCAATAGCAACACTGTTCCCGAGGCTAGGTTTCCTAACTGTGGCAGCACTTCTGCGGGTGGTATTTTGTTCAGCAAGTCTTGGAGGATGTTGAGGAGTAAGTTCTTGCGAGATTCGAGGCTGAGAATGTCGGGCGGCGCCACGCAGAAGAGGATTTCTGTGAGTTGCCGCCATGAGTCGTAGTAGTGCGTGAGAGTCGCCGCTAGGTTGCGCTGGCGGTTCACTTCGGTTACGTAGTCTAATACCTGCGAATGGATAACTTTGCAATAATACCAGATATAAAGGGCTAGAATGAAAAGAGCATTGAGGATGTTGGATTTATGGACGCATAAGAGAAACTCCTTACTAATATTGTCTATGGGCACTCTCGTCCTTGTCGCGTTGTCCAAAATGTTCTCATATATTTTACTATAAAATATAAAGTCTTCAAATTAAGCTTTGTTTAATTTCATCAAGTAAAATGTTTTAAATTGATAGATGATTTTTTTCTTTTTCATCCTACCTTTTGTATTTCCAAAGCGACTAGATTCCGTTGCGGCGCGGTGGCGTGTAGCGCCGATAGCTCCCGAGCTAGTAGCGCGTGAACTCGTGACACGCTGATCCTTTTACCGCCCAGACCTACGATAAAAGTACACGTTATTTCCTAGTCCAGAAAAGAATTATGGAACAAATAATTAAGGTACATTGAAGGGCCTCCACTTAACGGGTGTACGGAACGGGAACCCGCCGCGGGTGCCTGCTCATTCAAATGTTTGATACAGAACCACGCGCGTTTGTTTTCCATGCAAAATAAATAAATAAATATTTAATTAAATTTTATTTCCAGCTGCAGGCACTGCTTCCACTCCTAACGGAAGCGCACGGAGCCTCATCACTCATTTATGGGCAGGTCACAGGAGCATCAAATTCAAATTATTTATTGCATGTAACATGGGTAAGGCTCAGAACAGACGGTGAAACGCAACTGCAACGAAACTGCAACTTTGTGATGATTCTGATGAATGAAACTGAAACTGAGTTTCAAACTTGTCGCGTCATGTGTGATCTCTCAACGAATGCTATGGCAGAAACTTAGATGCAACTCAAAAGTAACTATCAGTTGCAATTTCGTTGCAGTTGCGTTTCACAGTCTGTTCTGGGCCTATGGGTTGATAGAACATAATTTTGTACGTGACCACAGAATAATAATAAGTACTACGTACAGAAGTTTTACTTCGCGAAGGTATTTAAAAAAATGTATGCTCAATGTCATTAACAATAAGGTGTAATTTAGCCTGTCTCAAGAGTCAAGCACCATTTTGTTGACAAACGTCAGTGATCGGCACTGCGCCGAAGCTATAGGGCTGATTTCGGTAAAATGATGTGACGTGAGGTGTTAAACTGCGGAAAATGGCGGAGAAAATACATGATTTAGCATGAATTATCATGAATAATATTAACTACTTCTTTACCTCTCAGTGTCTTGAGGCAACTTAAAAAAGTACATTCTGTGTTTTTATTATTATTTAGGCAGTTAAATACTGCACAGTATTTAGTAGGTACACCATTTTCTTTATTTTCTTCCATCATACACAAGAATACGCGTGCGCGAGTCAATGTTCGCTCGTATGTGAGGCCTTGTCGAATAGTATCCTGTAGGTGGGCCATCGTGCGCGTTTTGTTTTCGATGTAAACTCGCGGAGATGAAGAGGCCTGACGTGACGCCCAGTGAAGGCACCGTGACTCACCCGTGGGCAGGTCGCAGGAGGCGATGGCGTGGCGCAGCTGGTGCGCGTGGAACAGCTCCCAGCGCGGCTCCGCGCACGCCTCCACGCTCACCGGCAGCGCTTCCAGCGTGCGCCGCAGCAGGCACCACTCCCATTCCTGGTGAGGGTGCGTAGACGTTATGATAAGCGAATAAGGTTCAAATTTAGATAGCAATATATTCCCCACAGCCCTATAAAGATTGAAACACGCTTCATTTAGCAGCAGTCGTCGATAGCAACAACCTGCGTGCGCAACGACGCGTGCGTAATCGCAGAATGTAGATCTCACACACACATAAACTCCTACTGTAATTTTAAGTATAAATTAATATTTATTTACTTATGTATATCTTGGCTATGGCAGAATAACAGGGTTTGTGGGTCTCCTGCAATCACTGAGTCATGGACCTTTTTGTCTCTTATGATTTTTGTATCTGTGAAAAACTGTAAATGAAACCTGTTTTGAGACAAATAAATACTTTCTATGGCGCTAGTGTCGGGAGCTACAGTATGTATCCTGCGCGTGGTGCAGAACTCGCGCGCATCTAAGCATCTACTTTATTTTTAAGCAAACTTTTCCATGGCCATACCCATCTTTCCGGTACGTACGAGACGTCCACCTACAAGGCGGACCGACGACATCGTAAAGGTAGCAGAGAAGCTCTGGACGCAGGCCGCTACCAATCGATCAACATGGAAAGCATTGGGGGAGGCCTATGTTCAACAGTGGACGTCCTATGGCTGAAATGATGATGATGATGACCCATCTTTCAATTATTATCTGTCCGACTCGCGGGAGGTGTGCGCGGAATTGCGTCTACTTAGAGCACGTTGCACTTCACCCCGTCACTTATACTGGCTGGATCGCGGAAGGTGTGCGTAGAATTGCGTCTGAGTAGGGCAGTCACAGTCACACTTCTTGATCAATTTACGCTTTATTTTGAAGCAGTCATGTTACCTTATTGAATCGGAAATGAGGAGATACGTAGGAGAACCAGAGTGACAGACATAGCCCGCAGAATCGCTAAAATCAAGTGGCAGTGGACGGGGCACATGGCTCGTAGAGCTGATGGCCGCTGGGGCAGGAAAGTTCTTGAGTGGCGACCACGAGCCGGAAGACGTAGCGTGGGCAGGCCTCCCACTAGGTGGACCGACGATCTGGTGAAGTTCGCGGGAGGTGCCTGGGTGCGAGCGGCGCAGGATCGGTCTTCATGGAAATCCTTGGGGGAGGCCTTTGTCCAGCAGTGGACGTCTCTGGATAATGATGTGTCAAATACTATTATTTAGGCTAGTATGACTACGAACAGAAAACGTAACGGTAATTAGGACTTTAGCTCGGACAAGATGTTTTTTAATTATAATTATTTACAGAATGGTTCTATTGAATAGATATTTTGCCAAGCATAAGACAATCTTATAAACTCTTTTAAACGTTGAATGGAGTAAATCAAATCTATACGACATAAAAATTACAGCCAACTTTTAACATTAAGTCGGTGTGCGGACGCGTCACGGTAATTATAGAACAGAGGTTCATGAAATTAATTTAGCCACTTATACTTAAAATAAGAGGCCTATGATTTTATGCACAATTGGATAGGGTTGTCAAGTAAAATATAAAAATACTTGCATGTCTCTAATTTATCATTTTTAAGGATTTAACAGCCCGGACACGTAAAAACTAGCTAATCTGAGAATGGCCATTATGTAAAGTGTACGGGTAAATCAAAATTGGTCTTTACTGGTAGACCAAAACTAGTCAATAAGATTGGACCTTGTCATAGACACATGTATGACGAAAAATAAATAAACGTTTATGATTTGCAAGCCAAAGGTCAAGTGCTGCTTTTAAGATTCAATTTGCGGATTCTTGCATGCGCATGAACGAGGCGTCCCTCGGCCCTTCCGGCCGTTCGCGACGTCCGACCCCCATGTAGACTGATGGAAAGGACAAAATGTTTCCTCGAACACATTTTTGTGTTACCTGCGTGTGGTGCAGCGGCGCGTGCGTGAGCGCGGCCAGCAGCGTGGCCAGCGCCGCGTGCTGGCGGCCCGCCGCCGCCGCGCCCGCCTCGCACGCGCACGCGCGGAGCACCCAAGACCGTGCTGAGAGCGTCACCACCGACGCCGTCTGTAGAGGAGATAACTTGTTATTTACTTGGATAGCCAACAAAACGATCACCTTTGCACCACAATCTAAAACAAATAGTACAGGTCACGAGACATATTTAAAGGTTCGGCGAAACTAAAGCAGCCTGCGTTCGCGATGGTTATCACTGCGCGTGCAAAAGTTGTTCATACTGCCGCGTTCGCGAAAAATTTACGCCATTTTTATCAAACGTCAAGCGCGATCTATTCGCCGATTACCGCTGCATAGATTGCTGCAGCAAATGATGATTAACGTGAACTCATTGCTACAACCTGATAAAGCGGCGACGACCTGATAAAGGTAACAGGAAGGCGCTGGACGCAAGCCGATACCACCGTGCGAAATGGAAGTCATTGGGGGAGGCCTATGTTCAACAGTGGACGTCCTATAGCTGAAATGATGATGATGATTGCTATAAATTCATACACGTCTGATCGCCACTGCCATCTCGCACGCAGGCTGCACGCGTTGGTTTGACCGAGCCTTATGTAGCTTCTGTAAATAAACACAAAGACGCGTACCTCCAGGTTGACGGTGGCCTTGACGTGTCGCGCCAGGAAATAATCGCGCGAGCGTAGGAAGCGCAGCGCCGGCGCCGATGTCGCCGGCCGCGCCGCCAGCCAGTACACCAGCCGGTAGCAGCTCTCCACCAGGTTCGACGCCTCCCTGGGACACGATCACACTCGCCAGTTACACTCGGAAATAGCAAAAAACTATGATAAAAAAAGGCCCACTTTAGGCGGGCACAACGTCACTACGTCACTACAATTTCGCCACTTTCACATTAGGGCGTCAGCAGCGAGACAGCAGCGCGACAGCAGCAGATGCCTGCCTTCCCATTATAAAAATGCCGCTGCCACGCTGTCATATAGTATGAAATTATCAGCAGAGTGACTGTCACGCGACCGTCGCGCTAATGTCGCTTAAATGTGAAATTGTGAAGTGAAGCGACACAGCTTAAACTCTCTTATGGTTGTGTGATTATGACAAGTTAGTTACTGAACTCCACTGACAAGAGCCTCGAAGAGAAAGAGACCTCGCGAATTACTAAAAAAAATATTGTATGAAATGATTTTAACACAATCGTATTAAAGTCGAATTTCCTCACCTGTCCCCGTTGTTCTGGCCGGCGATGTGCTGGTCCAATATATCGAGGATGGAGTGCAGGCACGTGCGCGGGTAGCCCGCCACGCCCGCCTCGTTCAGCGCGCTGCGGCTCACCTAAACAAAGTTATTTATTTATTTTACATGGAAGAAAAATAGCTTTGAAATAATTACATTAAACATGATGATGATGATGATGATGATGATGATGATGATGATGATGATCCATCCGACCGATTTCGGCCATGGCGACCACTCCGACTCCTAGCTGTCTTGGCGGCGCTGGTGTGCCCGAAGATGGCTTACGTAGCCTATTTTCGCGGCAAAATCCCTCGCGCATTGAGGGCATCTCGCCAACATAGTTATAGTGAATGGCGGCAGATGGACGGGCCTTCAAGTCATCGCGCTTCGCGTCGAGTTCAGTCGTACGCTCCTCGAACTCGTGGACTTGCCTCTTCACAATCTCCCGCCATTCTGGACGCTGCCATATTAAACAACATAATGTATTGTTGGAGTGTCATGTCATCATCACATCAAACACGGAGTGCAGGTGCGATTTTGTTCTCAAGTCGATGAAGCACGTCATGATGTCGTGCCCTGAGTGCTCGAGCAACTCCACGCAGGAGGATTTAATGAATGATGCTGACAACGCCACTATTGTAGCAGAGTTTTGGGTTTTGGTTTTAGGTTTGTTGTCGACACGATAAGAAGAAGAAGTTGGAGTAATTGATAATAGACTAATAGTCAATCATTTTAACCCCTACGCAAAATTGGCGCATACGCACGCTCGCATGTCTGTATCGAAATAAAGTATGAGCAGCGCAGTGGCACTGTCGCGTGGGACGGATTACACTCGTGTTGGACGTCCGAAGTGGGCACACTCTCCACGCACCCTCGCGCATGTTTTATCATAGGTCGTAAAAAATATCCTTAAACACTTTACACTGCGTCATCTAGCCCCAAATTAAGTACATAATATACAGTCAACAACACATCAGATGAAACACTTGTAAAGTGGCACATATTTCATATTCCAAGTACACAAGAGCGTCACTCACGTCTTCGTCCAGTCGGTACCCCAGTAGGAAGTGCGCGAGGTTGGGCGGCGCGGCGGGCAGCGCCTGCTGCAGTAGCAATAGGACTCCCTCCTTGGCCGCGCGAATGTCTGCTATCTGCTGCTCGTCGCTTGTTAAAGTGACCCTTATCACAAGCACACAAGAGCGTCACTCACGTCGTCGTCCAGTCGGTATCCCAGTAGGAAGTTGAAGTAGCAATAGGACTCCCTCCTTGGCTGCGCGAATGTCTGCTATCTGCTGCTCTACTTGTAAAGCCTGGTCCGTGAGCACGTAGAATCCCGTTCAATGACCCCAAGCTACCCATCCTTATCGCTCGCGCGTAATTATATTGCTGTCGCGACTGTGCGACGCGCGCCCGCAGTGAGTGTGCGAGCGCGACAGCAACATAATTACGTGCGAGCGACAAGGATGGGCAGCTTGGGGTCATTGGACGGGATTCTACGTGCTCACGGACCAGGCTTTAGTAGTGACCCATATTCCAAGCACACAAGAGCGTCACTCACGTCGTCGTCTAGTCGGTACCCCAGTAGGAAGTGTGCGAGGTTGGGCGGCGCGGCGGGCAGCGCCTGCTGCAGTAGCAATAGGACTCCCTCCTTGGCCGCGCGAATGTCTGCTATCTGCTGCTCTGCTTGTTGTAAAGTGACCCTTATCACAAGCACACAAGAGCGTCACTCACGTCGTCGTCCAGTCGGTACCCCAGTAGGAAGCTGAAGTAGCAATAGGACTCCCTCCTTGGCCGCACGAATGTCTGCTATCTGTTGCTCTGCTTGTTGTAAAGTGACCCTTATCACAAGCACACAAGAGCGTCACTCACGTCGTCGTCTAGGCGGTATCCCAGTAGGAAGCTGAAGTAGCAATAGGACTCCCTCCTTGGCCGCGCGAATGTCTGCTATCTGCTGCTCTGCTTGTTGTAAAGTGACCCATATTACAAGCACACAAGAGCGTCACTCACGTCGTCGTCCAGTCGGTATCCCAGTAGGAAGTTGAAGTAGCAATAGGACTCCCTCATTGGCTGCGCGAATGTCTGCTATCTGCTGCTCTACTTGTAAAGCCTGGTCCGTGAGCACGTAGAATCCCGTTCAATGACCCCAAGCTACCCATCCTTATCGCTCGCGCGTAATTATATTGCTGTCGCGACTGTGCGACGCGCGCCCGCAGTGAGTGTGCGAGCGCGACAGCAACATAATTACGCGCGAGCGATAAGGATGGGTAGCTTGGGGTCATTGGACGGGATTCTACGTGCTCACGGACCAGGCTTTAGTAGTGACCCATATTCCAAGCACACAAGAGCGTCACTCACGTCGTCGTCCAGTCGGTACCCCAGTAGGAAGTGCGCGAGGTTGGGCGGCGCGGCGGGCAGCGCCTGCTGCAGTAGCAATAGGACTCCCTCCTTGGCCGCGCGAATGTCTGCTATCTGCTGCTCGTCGCCGTATTCTTCTGCTTCCAAGCACTCTACGAAGCCGTGCCTGTTGGTAGAAGAAGAGATAAGCAACGCATAACCCTTGACAAGGGTGAATTTATAAAGACCCATTGATCCTGATCACTATGGTCAAGAAACTCAAGAATATCCACATGGCCTATACGCTGTCTTAAGGGCTGCGCAGACAACGGATTTTTTTCGGCGATGGACTTTTTTCCCATTAATATTTATCCCTTATAAACTCCATCGAATAAAGCACACAACAGTACACCAAACAAAAAGTCCGCTGGCTGCGCATTTAGCACTGAACCAGTTGAGATTTAAGTATTATCAAGGGAGAATTAACTCATTAATTTTCGTTTGCTAGCGATGAAAGATTACACTGCCACTGGATAACTTGCACCACCTGATATTAATTCAAATTTTCATTCACAGATGGCACTATCTCTAAATAATAGTATTGTGCACGTACCTAATATCGCTGGCATGCGGACGGTGCGCCTGCGCATGCAACAAGTGCCTGGCGGCGGCCGGCGCGCTAAGGGCACGCGTTAGGAGCGCAGTGGCGCGCGCGGCGGCGGCGGGCAGCGTGTTAACGAGCTGCAGCACGCGGCAGCAGGTCACTAGGCGGTCGCCGCCGGAGGGACCGTCGTCCGCTGGGGAAACAATGATAGAATTAATTACAGGATCCAGGTGATGCTCTCATGTATTCTTAATTCCACAGGTGACTGTATAATTTGATTTTGTCACAGATAATAAGGATGATAACCAACTACAGTTAAGCAGGCCTTTACTGTGATTCATGAGATACTTTTTGTCCATCGATACTAACTGCTTAAAACTGTATAGATAGAATAAGGCATACATAGGAGTAAATGTGCCCCGTACGAAAAATACAAAAAGGTGTATCCTCTGTGGATAAAAGTCCCTCGAATTTCGTCTTTCTACAATCATCATCATTTCAGCCATAGGACGTCTACTGCTGAACATAGGCCTCCCCCAATGACTTCCACATCGCACGGTTGGTAGCGGCCTGCATCCAACGCTTTCCTGCTACCTTTCTACAATAATGTCACTAACAAAAATATTTTCTTTTTCTTGTATTTAGAAGTAAATGATCTAAATTAGTTTCTACAACGTAACTTTTACTTCTCTGAGATCTTACCCAGTATAAGTTTGGAGAGGCCGACAATAAGTACACCGCGCCCGGCTTCGGAGGCCGCGGCGGTCAGCGAACGTTCCAGGGCCAAAGCGCGCTCCAGTATCTGCAGGATCGACACCAGGCTTTCCTCCACGAATACCTGCAAAAAATTATCTGGGTCATTCATAAAATATACACAAACATTGTCAATCAATCATCACACGTGTTCGTATAAGTCATCATCGTCATTTCAGTAACAGGACCACTGCTGAACATAAGTTTCCCACAATGATATCCAGATTGACCGGTTGGAAGCGTTTAGCACCTTCTGGCAATTCCTTACACCTCCTATGTCACACACCTATTCGTATCTCACATGAGATCCAGATTGGCGGATTGGTAGCGCGGCGTTTAGCACCTTTCTTGTAACTTTTATAAGGTCATTTGTCCATTTTGTGAGTGGATGACTCACGCTACGCTTGCCGGTATGTGGACTCCATTCCAGAATCTTGATCCATCGGTTCACTGGTTGACTTTTTAGTGGCGGTCAAGCTGTAGATCATGGCTACACAGGAGTTGCAGAAGTGGAAATAGTTCCATTTGCCCAGGGTTCATAGGCCTCCTAGGGCCCACGATTCATAGGCCTCCTAGGTTCCAGGGTTCATAGGCCTAGGGCCCAGGGTTCATAAGCCTCCTAGAGCCCAGGGTTCACAGGCCTCCTGGGGCCCGGGGTTCACAGGCCTCCTAGGGCATTGGTTCCTAAACTTGTTTGAGACGCGCCCCCTTTCGTCCATACAAAAAATTCCGCGCCCCCCTCCTCCAGTCAAGATTATTTATTGGTCGTATCGAGCAGTCTGGAATGCATTCTCTCAGCGGTCACAGGCTTCGTACAGATGGCCCGCGCCTCCCTTTAAAGGTCTTTGCGCCCCCCACTTTGGGAACCAATGTCCCAGGGTACCTGGCCAGCTCACCTTCCCCGGCATGGCGGGCTGCCGCTCCAGCAGGCCGAGCGAGCCCTCCAGCGAGCCCAGCGCCAACCGCAGCAACTCCGAGTCACCGTGCAGCTGCAGCAGCAGCCGGAAGCCCGGCTTGTTCCTAGGGCCCGGGGTTCACAGCCTCTTAGCCTCCTAATGCCCAAGGTTCACAGCTTCCTAGCCTCCTAGGGCCCAGGGTTCACAGCTTCGTAGCCTCCTAGGGCCCAGAGTTCACAGCCTCTTAACCTCCTAGGGCCCAGAGTTAACAGCTTCCTAGCCTCCTAGGGCCCAAAGTTCACAGCTTCCTAGCCTCCTAGGGCCCAGGGTTCACAGCTTCCTAGCCTCCTAGGGCCCAGGGTTCACAGCTTCCTAGCCTCCCAGTGCCCAGGGTTCACAGCCTCCCAGGGGTGCCTGGCCAGCTCACCTTCCCCGGCATGGCGGGCTGCCGCTCCAGCAGGCCGAGCGAGCCCTCCAGCGAGCCCAGCGCCAGCCGCAGCAACTCCGAGTCGCCGTGCAGCTGCAACAGCAGCCGGAAGCCCGGCGGCGGGTTGGCGTCTGGCTCCCTGCCCGCGGGCGGGAAGTCTGATGCGGCCGGCTCGTATTGGTCCAGCCAGAGGGCGAACAGCTCGAAGCATAGGGACAGCATCTGGGGAAGAACGGTGTTTGAATATAGTGGACAATTACCTTAAAGCGGCGGTTCACGCTGCAACAAAGACAAGCCGGGACAAAAGGACGCGAAGAGAGTCCGCGACCACTACTTGATTTAAGACAATTTATGAGCGTCAGTTTGCGAGTGAGACAGAGACAGAGGATTAAGTAAACTGTCACTGTCTGTAAGTCTCCTATCTTGGTCTCCCGTCTCAATTTCTTGTCTCGATCGCTTCTCTGTCGCGGCGCGACCCGCTGCTTAACGTTTTATTAAGAAGTTGTATCTTTGAATTACACCGGTCAACAAAAAAAAAATGTCGAAAATGGCCTGAATTGCTTCGAGAAAAGGATGGTACGGCCGTGTCGCTTTTTTGCTCGACTTGGTGGGGGCACTGCCGTGCCCCCAGATCCAATCATACCTCTGTGATCAGTCTGAGAAGTCCTCTGTGAAGCCCGCGTTGTGCAGACGCGGCGAACACCACGCCCGCTAACAGTTTTCTGTCAACAAACACAAGTTTCTGAATGATATTTTGACATTTTATTAAACAATTTAAAATCTATTTCATTCACGACTCCCTTCACCATGACAATTCAACCCTAACCATCAGGCCTAAGGCCTCAGCCTCGAATTTAGCGGGCAGCGGGGCGGGAGCGACGGCGGCGCTGGAGCGGGGCGGGCAACGCAGACCCGTTCTCGAAACAAGCGGGCAGCTCGCGCGGCGCTTTAGCGGCGAAGTGTTGTGTTCGGGGTTGTGTTGTCGAGATATTTGTTTTTATTCGCAAACGAAATGTCTGAACGACGGCGACAATTTTATTTCGATTCAAATTTATTCCTAACGCTCGATTTATTGTGGGCAAAAGAAGGAGTGCGCTGCCCGCTCGTTGCCCGCTCCCGCGCCGCTGCCCGCTCGTTGCCCGCTCTCGCGCCGCTGCCCGCTCGTTGCCCGCTCTCGCGCCGCTGCCCGCTCGTTGCCCGCTCTCGCGCCGCTGCCCGCTCGTTGCCCGCTCCCGCCGCCGCCCCACTGCCCACTAAATTCGAGGCTGAGGCCTAAGATGCGCGCCGTGATAACTTTTATCGACGTCAAAATGTATGGGCAAAATCGATGAAATGGCGTGATAACATCTTAGGCCTACAGTCTAATTTTTTAGAAATCAGCAGAAATGTCATCAAATATGGCCAACTGACATAAAAATATTTTTAGTCTGTGAACTAGTGATGCGACAAAACCTCTCGTTAATCGCGAAGTGAAATGNTAGAATGTCTCTAAAGATGCACGTCACATTCTCATTGGGATATATTTATAAATAATTATATTCGCAAGAACAAGGGGCACGCTTTCATCAAAATATAGTGGGATTTGAGAAACGACGTTACCAAGGCCAGTATACTGAAAGCATGATAGGGTTAGATTTTTATGAAAAAAATCTTCTATGGAACATGACAGGAAATTAGAACTTTTAATTTTTAATAAATTTTTGGACTCTATTTTAATTTTTCTCTTGTGAGAATGAATCTTAAATGGATGTTTGTTATGTTTTAATAATTAGAAAGAATGAAAGAAAGAAAGAAAAAAATATATTTGGCAACAAATTAAATCATCTCTATGTTCATGTTTCATACATTCATTAATATGATTTTTTCTATTTTTTACACATAAAAGCAAATTCAGAACAATTGTTTGTTGTTATTCTTGTTTCTAGGTTATAAAGCAATAAAAATAAGCTATGCATAACCCGTGCGCAAAAATACTGTAGACAGTTGTTATCTATCAAGTAGCTGCGCCCCGCGGTGTTCCTCGCGGTAAAACGTAGCCTATGTGTTAGTCCAGGGTGTCAGCTAACTCCATGGTGTACCTGCCAGCGGCGCGCGGGGTCCGCGTGCGGGCGGTGCGGCGCGGGCAGGGCCAGGCGCGCCAGCACGTGGTGCGCGTAGGGCGCGAGGCTCCATGCCACCTGGCTCGCTATACACCTGGCTCGCTGTACCAGGCCTGTTCATCTCCGCGAGTTTACATCGAAAACAAAACACGCACGATGGCCCACCTACAGGATACTATTCGACAAGGCCTCACATACGAGCGAACATTGACTCACGCACGCGTATTCTTGTGTATGATGGAAGAAAATAAAGAAAATGCTGTACTAAATACTGTGCAGTATTTAACTGCCTAAAATAATAATAAAAACACAGAATGTACTTTTTTAAGTTGCCTCAAGACACTGAGAGGTAAATAAGTAGTTCATATTATTCATGATAATTCATGCTAAATCATGTATTTCCTCCGCCATTTTCCGCAGTTTGGCGCCTCACGTCACATCATTTTACCGAAGTCAGCCCTACAGCTTCGGCGCAGTGCCGATCACTGACGTTTGTCAACAAAATGGTGCTTGACTCTTGAGATAGGCTAAATTACAGCATATTGTTAATGACATTGAGCATACATTTTTTTAAATACCTTCGCGAAGTAAAACTTCTGTACGTAGTACTTATTATTATTCTGTGGCTGTACCTGCCAGCGGCGCGCGGGGTCCGCGTGCGGGCGGTGCGGCGCGGGCAGGGCCAGGCGCGCCAGCACGTGGTGCGCGTAGGGCGCGAGGCAGGAAGGTGAGGAGGAGATCCGTAAACGAACTAAAGTCGCTGACATAGCCCGACGGATCAGCAAGCTGAAGTGGCAGTGGGCAGGGCACATAGTACGCAGAACTGACGGCCGATGGGGCAGCAAGGTTCTGGAATGGAGGCCACGTACCGGAAAACGCAGCGTGGGACGTCCACCCACAAGGTGGACCGACGACCTGATAAAGGTAGCGGGAAGGCGCTGGATGCAGGCCGCTACCAACCGTGCGTTGTGGAAGTCATTGGGGGAGGCCTATGTTCAGCAGTGGACGTCCTGTGGCTGAAATGATGATGATGATGATGATGATGCAGGAAGAACCATGGGTGGTGGTGGGTTGTACCTGCCAGCGGCGCGCGGGGTCCGCGTGCGGGCGGTGCGGCGCGGGCAGGGCCAGGCGCGCCAGCACGTGGTGCGCGTAGGGCGCGAGCCCCGGCGCGCGCGTGCCCGCCCCCAGTGCACGCGGCAGGCCGCCCGCGCGGCACAGCGACAGCAGGAGGGAGACAAACGCGCGGGATAGAGGGTAGTCCTCCATGCGGCACTCCACCTGGTGTAGGAAACAACATGTCAATGACGTTGTGAACTAGATTGCAAATGAGAAGGGCGATGAAAGCGCGCGAGACGGGTAGTCCTCCATGCGGCACTCCACCTGGTGTAGGAAACAACATGTCAATGACGTTGTGAACTAGATTGCAAATGAGAAGAGATGAAAGCGCGCGAGAGGGGGTACTCCTCCATGCGGCACTCCACCTGTCCGCCATCCGTCAGCCCAAAATATTGTCCGGATGTGGTGATAGGGCAAGTTATTTGGGACATTTATAAGCGCCTCTTGGAAAGGTGGTACTAAATAAAAGATTTGTATTTGATGTGGCTGGAGAAACACTTGCAGACTTACAAAATGCATAAATAATGCATGGCGTGCGGCTAGGTTGCTAGCCAAGTGACAGCACCCGCCATACACCTACCCGGGAGGCGAGCAAACAACTGCGGTACCTTTATCCGCACCCTTACTTACGGGAGGTGACGTAGGTATATCTCACGTTACCGTCTTAAAGCAAGACGACACGTGAGAGTAGACCAATAACCCTAAAATACGCGCCGCGATAAATTTTTATCGCTTATCGATTTTACGCGATAAGCCCATACATTTGTCTGAAATCATCGAAAAGATTTTATCACGGCACACATCCTAGTCCTGACATACCTCCTGCAGGTCGGCGGTGAGCGCGCGCTTCTCGTCCGTGGGCGACACCAGCTGCGCGCTCTCCAGCGCGCACCACACGCGCGGCGCCGTGCTGGCCGTGCTGCCCAGCGCGCCCAGCGTCAGGCACAGCTCGGCTTTTAGCTGGATCGGCACGTGGCAGCAGATTAACCCTGTCAACGTGTAAAAAAAGTCTTAGACCTAGAACGCACTATGTTGTTATTTATTTATTAGGTACACCAACAAAGTCACATACATAATACAGTTCATACATTTTAACATGGTTTAACACATGATGCGTATATGACCTCAATTACAGGTATACACAGCATTTCTTTTTGCAATGTTAGGGTAATTATACACTAGTAAAAACAAAAATCAATTGAATGGAGTTTAGAGTTTAAGCACAGAACAATATAAAGGATTTAGTAAAATTGTTCATTTTGCTCGGTGCCTAAGTCGTGGTTAGCTGAAATGCGGTCAGCCGTCCGGTTAAAAATATGTATTGAAACAGCCGCATGATAGTGTGTCGTTATCATGCGATTTCATAATAATAATCGATGTGCGACCTACCGCAGCGGTTCGCCGCATTCCGGCTAACCGCATAGTGCGTTTTAGGCCTTAGGGTTAGCCAGTCATAAGGACATATTATGCTAAAACTTGCGCGAGTGCACCAAGCAAGTGCTCGTGCCGAACATCTGTCGCAGACTTGCGCTGCGTAGTGGCCACCCGATCTCTACCGCGCTAGTGGAAAACCGTCTCACGCGTCCGCGCCAAACTGCGTTTGCTATCTTTTGATAGACACGCGTGCATGTTCTCACGCGAATTATAGCGTACACCCTAAAATACTCAGTGACATAAAAATTCCTTACACTTCTTGCAAAATTTTTAAGTCGGCCGTTTAATCTAGAAGAATAAATTAGCAGGATAAGTCCTAATCTCGTACTACAACAAAGCTTTTTTACAAGTTTCATTTCACATACATGCTTCGACTTACCGAACATGACGTTGACGGCATCCCACTGCAAGTTTTCGCAGATGCTGGCGCAAGCGGCTTCATCTTGAATGGCCACTGCCGCTATGAGCTTTAGCGCGGCTATCATTGCTTCCACCTACATGACAGGAACATTATGAATTTATAGAGATCTCTAGAATTCAAGTGATTGAGAATAAACGAATGAGTGATGTTGAATTGAACGAAAAGAGATATTCTAAATAGAACAAAGACTAAATGACGAGAGTAAGTATATCGTCAAGATATACTTAAAATAAATATAAGAATAAATGTTTGCTTCTTACCTCTTCCTGCCGCACGAGCAGTTTCCCCGGGCGCGCGGCGGGCGTAACGATGGCGGTGGCGCCCATGGACGAATGCTGGTGTTCGGAGAACGGCGTCGGATCCACGCGCAGGTTTCTGCAAGATACATGAATTGGAATAGGGTTTCTTGGTGTGATTTTCTTTTAAATTGCTAAAAGTTCACATTCGTAAAAAAAAAAACGAAAAATCAACCATCTATTTACTAATTTTTCCTCACATAATTTTAGATGAAAACATTAATCCCTAAAAATTAAAAAACAAAATACTTATTAGTCGGTTATCACACTGCGCCGCGCTCCGCCGCGGAGCGCGGGGCGACAGATTTAATCATTGTATGCAAGTACCTCAGTTTGTATAGAAAACACGCGCGGCTCTTCACACTGACGTCCGCGCGCGTGATTTTTTATATAAAAATCACGCGCTCCGCGGTGGAGCGCGGCGCAGTGTGATAACCGCCTTAGGCTCGTTTTCTACCAAGGTGGAGAGGACAGGAGACGAGAGGAGATGTGGTTTGAATAAGCAATCAGATTTTGTTATTACTACATCTCCTTCCCGCCAGCGTCACTGGTAATGGATCGAGCGGAAAGAACAGATGCGTCGGGTTGGGCGGTCAAGAGGTACTCCCGTGCTCCGTTCCTCAATACTCAATACTCAATACGTTTATTGCATAACCACATTAGCATTCACACTCCCTTTTCGCAAACGCAAACCCGAAGCTCACAATATTACTGTTACGCACAGCTCACATTTTCTCTTGGCTTTTCTTCCCTCCTCTTGTCTCTTCTCCTCACTGCTTTGGTAGAAATAACTTGCCAGCTTCGCCCTTAAAACAAAATGTCTCCTCACGTGTAGTATCTGGCGAGCGCGGTGAGCAGATGGTTTGAACAACTTTGAACATGCGAAGCTCACACACAATGACATCTCTTCTCCTCTCTGCTTTGGTGGAAACCGAGCTTAATACAAATATTCTCCTCACGTGTAGTATCTGGCGAGCGCGGTGAGCAGGTGGTGAGCGGACAGCGCGTCGCGGCGCGCCAGCAGCGTCGCTAACCTCTCTCCGCGCTTTGAACATGCGAAGCTCACACACAATGACATCTCTTCCTCTCTCTACTTTGGTGGAAACCGAGCTTAATACAAATATGTCTCCTCACGTGTAGTATCTGGCGAGCGCGGTGAGCAGATGGTTTGAACAACTTTGAACATGCGAAGCTCACACACATCTCTTCTCCTCTCCTTTGTGGAAACTAATCTAAATCAAATATTCTCCTCACGTGTAGTATCTAGCGAGCAGGGTGAGCAGATGGTGCGCGGACAGCGCGTCGCGGCGTGCCAGCAGCGTCGCTAACCTCTCTCCACGCTTGGAACATGCGAAGCTCACACACATCTCTTCTCCTCTCTGCTTTGGTGGAAACGGAGCTTAACACAAATATTCTCCTCACGTGTAGTATCTGGCGAGCGCAGTTAGCAGGTGGTGCGCGGACAGCTACCCTCTCCGCGCTTTGAACATGCGAAGCTCACACACATCTCTTCCTCTCTACTTTGGTGGAAACCGAGCTTAATACAAATATGTCTCCTCACGTGTAGTATCTAGCGAGCGCGGTGAGCAGGTGGTGCGCGGACAGCGCGTCGCGGCGTGCCAGCAGCGTCGCTAACCTCTCCGCGCTTTGAACATGCGAAGCTCACACACATTGTATAAACCTACCATGAAACTTGTTTGTGTTATTTGCCGATAGATGTCACTGTACTTTGAGACGCGTTAAGCTGTACCGCGGTGTCCAGATTTTTTTCCCCGGCTTTATATACCGGGAGGATTTTGACACAATTAACCTTTGACAACCTTTGTGAACCATTGACAACCTGTGTCAAGCAATAAATTGTCACCTAAATATTGACGTCTTATTTATACCTAGATAAGAGTCCCTTAAGTGCGCCGAGAGTATCCGTGGTTTATTCACACATCTCTTCCTCTCTCTACTTTGGTGGAAACCGAGCTTAATACAAATATTCTCCTCACGTGTAGTATCTGGCGAGCGCGGTGAGCAGGTGGTTTGAACAACTTTGAACATGCGAAGCTCACACACATCTCTTGTACGAGCTATCGTACAAACATATTCACTTTCCATATAGCTAATAAGTTATTGCTAAGTAAGCGTTTGCGCGGTTGACCCAAATTAGCGTCGAACGCATTGAATACTTTATAGCAATAAACCAGTGTATTTTTAACAGTCACTCAAACTGGTCGTTTTCATTCCACCTCTCTCCCGACCCTTCAGCATCACTCACATCCTCATAGCATAGCATCCTTACCCTAGCATTCTTTAATGTAGGAGTTACGCCCCACATCTCTTCTCCTCTCTGCTTTGGTGGAAACCGAGCTTAATACAAATATTCTCCTCACGTGTAGTATCTGGCGAGCGCGGTGAGCAGGTGGTTTGAACAACTTTGAACATGCGAAGCTCACACACATCTCTTCTCCTCTCCTTTGTGGAAACTAATCTAAATCAAATATGTCTCCTCACGTGTAGTATCTGGCGAGCGCGGTGAGCAGGTGGTACACGGACAGCGCGTCGCGGCGCGCCAGCAGCGTCGCTACCCTTTCCGCGATTGAACATGCGAAGCTCACACACATCTCTTTATCATCTCTTTTCATCTCTGCTTTAGTGGAAACCGAGCTTAATACAAATATTCTCCTCACGTGTAGTATCTGGCGAGCGCAGTCAGCAGGTGGTGCGCGGACAGCGCGTCGCGGCGCGCCAGCAGCATCGCTACCCGCGCTTTGAACATACGAAGCTCACACACATCTCTTCTCCTCTCTGCTTTGGTGGAAACCGAGCTTAATACAAATATTCTCCATCTAAATAGAATATGTCTCCTCACGTGTAGTATCTGGCGAGCGCGGTGAGCAGATGATGCGCGGACAGCGCGTCGCGGCGCGCCAGCAGCGCCCACGTGTGCACCGGCACCGCCAGCGCCGCCAGCGCCCGTAAGTAGGCTGGAAGCAGCGCCGCGCACACCAGCTCGCCTGATAGGCGGACGAACTTGTATAGAGTGGCCGCGCGAGTCGCCGCCCTGTAAGCACAAGCGCAGCGTAAGAATAAAAATAAGAAATGTATTTATAATGTCCATTACATGTTAATTTTTCAATACACTTCTTATAATAACAGTCAATTTCAGTATCAATAAGAAAGAAATACAAATCATGTCCAAATAAATTAATAATACCAATAGAATTAATGTCAATTAAATGTCAAATAAATAGTGGGTAAACAACAGTAAGTCTTCAAGGATTAAGTGATTAACACATATCGTACTATGACTGTAGAACGAGGTAGCTCGCGACGTTATGACGTGAAAGGCCGCTTGCTAGATCGCACAAAACGTGTACATAGGGCGGCAGAACGCCGAGCGTCAAAATATTTTCTTAGCGGCAACTATGCGGCGACGTTCCAACGCTCATTGTAGCGCCACCATAAGTTAATACTAGTTGCATATCAATATACAATAAGACAATGGACATTTCGAACTGTACAATACTGATCAACGCCGCTCCACGCAGCGAAGCAGCGCGTGAACCGTATAATACTGAGCAACACCACGGCGCTCAAATATGACCTCTATGCTGCCACACTTAAAGCACATTCTCACCTGTGCGGCGGCGGGCGGTCGGCGGCGGCGGCCCAGTACTCGTGGCGCAGGCCGAGCGGGTCGCGCGTCGAGGCGCGTGCTATTTTGAACCGTATGATACTAAGCAATGCCGCTCAAACATGACCTCTCTGCCGCAACACTTAAAGTTCATTCTCACCTGTGCGGCGGCGGCCTATCAGCAGCGGCGGCCCAGTACTCGTGGCGCAGGCCGAGCGGGTCGCGCGCGTAGAGGCGCGTGCTATTTTGAACCGTATGATACTGAGTAACACCACGCCTTTCGAATATGACCTGTATGCTGCAACACATAAAGTTCATTCTCACCTGTGCGGCGGCGGTCGGTCGGCGGCGGCGGCCCAGTACTCGTGGCGCAGGCCGAGCGGGTCGCGCGCGTATATTAATACAACACTGAGCAACGCCGCTCGAATATGACCTCTCAGCTGCAACACATAAAGTTCATTCTCACCTGTGCGGCGGCGGTCGGTCGGCGGCGGCGGCCCAGTACTCGTGGCGCAGGCCGAGCGGGTCGCGCGCGTATATTAATACAACACTGAGCAACGCCGCTCGAATATGACCTCTCTGCTGCAACACATAAAGTTCATTCTCACCTGTGCGGCGGCGGCTTATCAACAGCGGCGGCCTAGTACTCGTGGTGCAATCCGAGCGGGTCGCGCACGTAGAGGCGCCTGCTACTTTGAACCGTATGATACCGAGTAACGCCGCGCCGCTCAAATATGACCTCTATGCTGCAACACATAAAGCTCATTCTCACCTGTGCGGCGGCGGGCGGTCGGCGGCGGCGGCCCAGTACTCGTGGCGCAGGCCGAGCGGGTCGCGCGCGTAGAGGCGCGTGCTATTTTGAACCGTATGATATTGAGCAACGCCGCCCCGCTCAAATATGACCTCTATGCTGCCTGCCTAGAGCTCATTCTCACCTGTGCGGCGGCGGCCTATCAGCAGCAGCGGCCCAGTACTCGTGGCGCAGGCCGAGCGGGTCGCGCGCGTATTATTACAACACTGAGCAACGCCGCTCAAATGTGACCTCTATAGTGCAACAATTAAAGTTCATTCTCACCTATGCGGCGGCGGGCGGTCGGCGGCGGCGGCCCAGTACTCGTGTCGCAGGCCGAGCGGGTCGCGCGCGTAGAGCCGCGTGCGCATACTAATACAACACTGAGCAACGCCGCTCTAATATGACCTCTCTGTTGCAACACTTAAAGCCCATTCTCACCTGTGCGGCGGCGGGCGGTCGGCGGCGGCGGCCCAGTACTCGTGGCGCAGGCCGAGCGGGTCGCGCGCGTAGAGCCGCTCCACGCAGCGCAGCAAAGCGTCGAGGCGCGTGCGCGGGCCCGAAGCCCCGGCTGGCGCCATCACACCTTCTGCCGCGTACATGGCTACGGCACGCGCCGCCTCGTCCGCCCTGGACACAAAGAATATTAACGACTAGCTTTCCGCCCGCGGCTTCGCCCGCGTGGAATTTTGTCTGTCACAGAAAAACAACATCGCGCGCGTATTTGCTCACCGTTTAGACCTACCCTGGATTACGACAAACATTTTAAAACCAAAATCAGCTTAATCGGCCCAGCCGTTCTCGACTTTTAATCAGACTAACGAACATCAATTCATTTTTATTTATATAGATAGATAGAAGATAGATAGATAGATGTCGACATCCATCCTCCAAACGAAAGCACCCACCACCACAAATTTAACTCTGGGCTTGTGATTGGACTTTTTTTATGTGACAGGAGGCAAACGAACAAACGGATCACCTGATGGTAGTGATTACCGTCGCCCATAAACACCTGTCTCAGACTCTGTTTTACTACCAAATACACGTTACTACGTTGTCGTTTTCCATATCGAGATCATATTGGCAGTGAGCGTACTGGTTGGACTTCGGTTTGTCTTCGTGGTATTGTTCCGAAGTCCAACCAGTCCGCTCACACTGTGTAGATTTGTTGTCGACACGACAAGAAGAAGATCGGCAGTTACTCGTTTACAGTACGAATATCTTCTGCGTAACACATATTTATGTTTCGCGTAGCTACAAAACATAATCATAAAACCACATTATAAAGAAGAGGACCTATGATTGAGCGCTGGGAATCACCACACGATATCTGATTCTGAATCTGCTTAAATTTTTTTATAAAATTTAGATTCACATTATCATAATTTTTGTCCTGATGACCTGATGATATTCTCTAAATATTGCGTGAAAGTTATCAACTAATAAGTATCACTTACTTGACCCTCATCTCCATGAGCTTGGAGTGCATGAGCACGATGAAGTCCGTGATGAGGATGTGTATGCGGCGCTGGTAGTACTCGTCCTTCCACACCAGGTCCGTCGACAGTATTGCCTCGTCCAGATACTCAAATACCTAAAAATATCATTTATATTAATCCTAGCCCAAATTCTTAAATCATGAATGATGAAAACGAAAAAAAAGATGATTAAATCATAAATGATTTAAAGATAAACATTTCTGACCCCAGTTAAAGCCCGGTCTCTGAGCACGTAGAATTTTGTCCAATAACCCCAAGCTACCCATCCTTATCGCTCGCGCGTAATTATGTTGCTGTTGCGCTCGCACACTCACTGCGGGCGCCCGTCGCACAGTCGCGACAGCAATATAATTACGCGCGAGCGATAAAGATGGGTAGCTTGGGGTCAATGGACAAAATTCTACGTGCTCAGCGACCAGATTATACAGGGTGTTAGGTAAATGGGTATATGAGCCGATACTAGCCCATGTTAACATGGGCATATAAATGGTATGGTGAAGTCAGAAATTTGATATTGTCATTTTATTTATTTTATATTTTCATACAAAATAAATTTTATAAAATGCGATTTGTATGAAAATTAAAATAATTAAAATGAAGATATCAATTTTCTGACTTCACCATACCATTTATATGACCATGTTAACATGGGCTAGTGTCGGCTCATATACCCATATACCTAACACCCTGTATAAATACCAATGCTCATCATACTTTCCCATGAGCAATTTTTCGGCAGAATAAGATCGCGCGAACGTGCCCGCAACGGCTTGCTTTGCAGTGATATTGCGCCGTGCGCACCTCGCTAGAATGCTACTCTCCCTCGCACTCACCCTCCCCACGTTCACCCTGTCCGTACCAGAGCGTCGATGTGACGTCACGGCTGCCACGCTAATTTGATCGTATTGTAACCTGGGTGTATCTCGCCCCGCCAAGCGATCGCTCGTGTAATCCACTCTTATATCGTATCTTCATAGAAACGCCCGAGCGCGGTTTGTGTGTGAGCGCGCCAATACGTATGCGGCGCGCACGCACACACTGACAAAATTTAGCGTTGATTAGAGGTGAGGTGCGCTGAATTTTGTCAGTGTGTGCGTGCGCGCCGCATACAAACCGCGCTCGGTGCGTTTCTATGAAGATGATCTACTCATTTGTATATACTCTGCTAAAGCCTGGTCCGTGAGCATGTAGAATCCCGTCCAATGACCCCAAGCTACCCATCCCTATCGCTCGCGCGTAATTATGTTGCTGTCGCGCTCGCACACTCACTGCGGGCGCCCGTCGCACAGTCGCGACAGCAACATAATTACGCGCGAGCGATAGGGATGGGTAGCGTGGGGTCATTGGACGGGATTCTACGTGCTCACGGACCAGGCTTTAATACATACCTTCCCGTCGATGGCGGCGTCCACCAGCACCTCGTCCTGGTCCAGCAGGTCGAGCTTGAGCTGCGCGCGCGCCAGCGACTGCGGCCCGCGCTTCAGCGCCGCTAGTGCCAGCCCTAGCGATAGCTGGCATAGTGCGCGGCAGCCCGCACCTATACACACACAATAACGACTTATACGAGTAGGTAGACGCAGATATAAAGTTTCAGACATGTCTGTAGGAGACAAATACATAGAGCGACTTCATGGGAAAGAAGAGGAACCGCATCGCGCAGCAGTTTACGTATGCGCTAAACTGATCAAGTTAAATCTGCTGTGTAAAATCGCGTATCTGACTGCGATAGGCAGTCTGGCAACGTAACCATGACCGCATTATAAATCTTTGGACAAATCTTTGGACAATTTCACACAGCGCCAGCTAGCCCCAAAGTAAGCAACTTAATGCTTGTGTTATGGGTGCTAGCTTAACGGATATACTACTTATATACTTTTTTTTTAAATACATAAATATTATACATAGTCACACCCAGACCCGTCACAGAAATTAAAATTCATCATTTCAATTTCTGCCCGGCCGGGAATCGAACCCGGGACCTCTCGGCATAGTAGTCCGTTCTGAACCACTACACCAAACGGCCGACTATTGACTGCTATGTCAGAGAAGAAGGTAATAAAATTATAAAAAAACGTAGCATGACATTAATAAAAAATAGGGTGTGTAATTTTAATGAAGATCTAGGAATAAGTAAAGAAATCAACGTTTATGAGCCACCACATAAGATGGACCATCATCCTTGTACTTTCACAATTTCAGCAATTTTTAGACAGACTCCTCGACATTTGGCGCCCGAATGCACAGGTTATTACTACAAGATCCTAAGGTAAATTTGAAATCAGACATTACAATATATTTTACACAAGATCCTAAGGTACATTTGAAATAAGACGCACAGCAGACCGAAAGTGACGTATACAGCAAGCACTTACCAGCTGCAGTGGTGCCGGGGTTCTCCGGCTGCGCGCCCTGCGAAGGCGGCGACAGCTGCTCCAGCAGGATCGGGATCAGCTCCGGGTCTTCGATGAGCGGCAGCTTCTTTGCCAGCTCCTCGCCATCTTCACGTCTAGGAAAACATTCGTATGTCTAATGCCCGTTTTCACCATCAATCCCTAATTTTTAAGTGGTCCCTTTGAAAACAAAATGCCTGTTATTTGTTACCACAGGTGTCACTTATAAATTAGGGATTGATAGTGAAAGTAATGTGAGGATAGTTCACATCAGGCGTCAGCAACGCGGCGGCAGCGGATGCCTTCTCGCGGGACCATCGTAATTTTAAAGTAGCCTAAATGTGACACACTCTTTCTAAACATTGTGCTTCTATAGCCCAATGGATATAGAAGCACAATGTCCCAATCAGAAGGCAGAAAACTTGCCACGCCAAACTAAACTATGCCTAACATCAACACAAAACAATTATTGGATATTGTAAGTTAAATGAGACTCATACCTGTGTAATACTGATAAATCTAATGCGTAAAGCAGTGCCATCTGTAGTGTAAGAGACACCTCATCTAATGCGCCTGTAGGTCCTAGCGACGGCGATGTGGTTTGCTGCAAAAAAAGTAACCAAATAAAAAAAGCTTTGTTTTTAAATTACAGTATGTAAGAAGAAGAGAAGAAGCCTTTTTATGAATAAGAAATGGTGCAATTAATAAGCAAGTAATTTGTAAAAGAAAATCCCATCAAAAACAATACTTGTCAAAAAAACCAAGTCTCGCAACTCAGTTGTTCTACGGTAAAAAGTTGTGAGATCCATGTAATACCAAGTCCAGGCCAGGAAATCTTTAACGTTTTACATAAATTATTGACTTGGCCATCGCACTAAATAATTTAATTTACACGTGTTTTCATGCGATGGCCAAGTCAATATATTTATGTAAAACGTTAAAGATTTCCTGGCCTGGACTTGGTATTACATNTCACAAATTTTCATCGTCCACGTATTTTGCTAAAATAATTTGTTTCAAAGATTGATTTCAAACTTGTATAAACGTGAAAATAAAGTTGGTTTCATGGGCTTGTTAAATAATGTGTATGATATTATGAACACGTAAGTGATTATGGTGTAATTGTGTATGAAAGTGTTTGTTTACATCTCTGCTGGATTCTAAAAAATCAAGGTATACATGTCTCCTAATTTCTGCTTTTTGAACTGAATATCGGACGAGTATGCGGTGGTCGAGTAGTCCGAGTACAAGTAGTCGGAGGTCGAGTTGTCGGAGGTCGACTAGTCGGAGGTCGAGTAGTCGGAGGTCAATTAGTCGGAGGTCGAGTAGTCTGTGGTCGAGTAGTCCGAGTACAAGTAGTCGGAGGTCGACTAGTCGGAGGTCGAGTTGTCGAAGGTCGAGTAGTCCGAAGTCGAGTGGTCCGAGTTCAAGTAGTCGGAGGTCGAGTTGTCGGAGGTCGAGTAGTCGGAGGTCGAGTAGTCCGAGGTCGAGTAGTCGGAGGATGCATAAGGGGTACCTTTTTTATTATTTACTATATTTTGACGTTCATAAGTGCCACTTGTGGTCTAAAGTGAATAAATATTTTTGATTTTCATTTTGATTTTGATGAGTAGTCCGAGGTCGAGTAGTAGGAGAAGGTAATCGAGTTGTGACACTGTTGATGGTTCCAACGCCTTCTCCAGCCAGCCCCTCACCTGGTGGCGTCGATGGTGGCTACAAGCCGCGCGTGGTGTCTGGGCGGCGGCAGCGCGCGGTTGCGCTGCAGCAGCGACAGCTCAGCGTCCAGCGAACACTGCTGCAGCGCGTCAAGCGCCGCCTCCAGCTGCCCGCCCGCGACCAGCCCGCCCACGTATCGAGACACGTAGCTCACGATCTCCTCGCGAGCGCTTATTGACCTGCGGACAATGTGATAGAGCCTAATATTAACTACTCCCAAGATGATAAAGGCCAATGCAGACTTGCCGAGACGCAGCGAAGCGTGGTTCTGTCGCAAATCATGAAACTCAGAGCGTCGCAAAGAGCCGTCGAAAGCCTCCGCAAGCGCATTTCAAGCGGCACGCGGCGCTGCCAGAAGTAGTCTATACGCTCTTGCACCTCGCCTGATCCAGGTCATGAGATTCCGAGCGTTGCTAAGAGCCGTCAAGAGCCTCCGCAAGCGAATGTCACCGGGTGAAGATGTCAAGCGCCGCGTAGCGCCGCCAGAAGTCGCCTCGCTAGGTCTGCACTGGCCAAAGAATATAAATGCTGCTTTTTGAAAAAACGAGACCTATGCCCGTTTTCACCATCAATCCGTAACTTTTAAGTAACCTCTAGGGTAACACATAATATGAATTTTATTGTCATAGGGGTCACTTAAAAATTAGGGATTGATAGTGAAAACGGGCACTAGTCTCCGGAGAGCCACTCACCAGCACACGCCGTCGCGCGCCATGAACAGCTCCTTGAGCGCCTGCACGAGCGCGCGCTTGCCGTCGTAGTACAGCAGCACGGCCACCAGCCCGCGCGGCGCCTGCCTCGCGCCGTGTGCGGAGCCCTAGCGTCACTCACCAGCACACGCCGTCCCGCGCCATGAACAGCTCCTTGAGCGCCTGCACGAGCGCGCGCTTGCCGTCGTAGTACAGCAGCACGGCCACCAGCCCGCGCGGCAGCCCCGGGTGGCGCGGCGCCTGCCTCTGTGCAGTGTGAAGCAGCTCCAGCGCTAGGTACTCGTTGACGTTGTACATATCTGCGGACAATACACAAGGAATTATTTTTTAAACTTTCGCGTTCCATTTCAACTAAAATGGTAAGACACGGGTCTCATACATAACTTAATAAAACTTAGTTACATTATGTACTCACGGCTTGACTCATTAATAAACGTCGCGTTAAGACCCGTGTCTTACTATTTTAATACACAAGGAAGTTGGAGTAATAAGAGTAATAAAGTCCAGTCGCAGAGAATTTCGTCCAATGACCCCAAGCTACCCATCCTTATCGCTCGCGCGTGATTATGTTGCTGTCGCGCTCGCACACACACTGCTGCCGCCCGTCGCACAGTCGCGACAGCAATATAAGTACGCGCGAGCGATAAGGAAAGAAGATATGGTAGCTAGGGGTCATTGGACGAAATTCTATCTGCACGGCGACCGGACTTTAAAGGCACACTAGACGACACGCGACTTAGATTCGACAACACCTTTTTTTCAAAGCTTCGCACACTTGGCATCAGTCTTAGCACAGCTCAGGATATACACAAGGAACTGGAATAGTAACTAAATAGGAGTGATAAAGATAGTTTTGTAAGCTATTGTGTTGTTAATAAATCAACCAAACCATTATCAACTTCTTTTTGTAAACTACAATGTCTCCAATATTACAAGTTCAGCTTTTAGTCAAAGCAGTAGTTTTACTTCAACAACAACCCACATCTACACTAATATTATAAAGAGGAAAACTTTGTTTGTTTGTTTGGTTGTAATGAATAGGCTCAAAAACTACTGGACCGTTTTTAAAAATTCTTTCACCATTCGAAAGCTACATTACTCACGAGTAACATAGGCTACATTTTATTTTGGAAAAAAATATGAAGTCCACGCGGGCGAAGCCGAGGGCGGAAAGCTAGTACCTGATATAATGATAGCCTCGTCCACCAACTCCTTGGAGAGCAGAGTCCTGCCTATGCTGGGCAGGTTCACTCCTTCTGTGATGCCCCTTTTGATCTCTTCTCTGCTGGACTGGCTCTTGGCCTACAACATAAGTAGGATTGAAATCACATTTGCTGGAACTGGTTTAGGTCTTTTACATCATATAGAAAAATAAAAATTGTACCTTAATTTTCGTGTGATAAAAGATTTCATAATGTTAAATGCTGAATAAATTTATTTATTTATTTATTTAGGAAAACCAGGGTTTTACAGTGTGCAATAATGACATAAGATAGGCAACAAGTAATAAAGTACTTCTATTCTATTCTATTCTATGTGCATAAAAATACAGAGTCAAAAGCTAGCCTTTATGGTTTTTTCAATCAAAATCAAACCCTAATGCTGAGTTACACCACCTAACTTTAACCGTAACAATGATGATAACCAGTGTTTTTGTATGCAGTTTGACAGATTTTTGACAATTGTTAAAATTAAAGTAAGATGGTGCAACTCCGCCTAAGACAGCATTATGTGAAAGCAAGGCATAGATTTTACTGGTTCAATTTTTCAATCAATAATTTTAGTTTAATGATGGGTAGTAGTTTTATAGCTATGGCTTATGGCTAGAAACAGAGAAGCATTGAGATCATTGGAGGAGGCCTATGTCCAAGGACAAACTGGAGATGAGTGCAGCTAAATTGTAAAATGAAAATGTTAATGTTGTAAAATATCTTTTAATCCAGTAATAAAGGCTTATATTATTATTATTAGTAGTTTTATATGACTTACCGGATTTTTGAGAAGTGACAAAAAGGTCTGCTTGTGGCGTCTCAACACGGACTCAAACGTGTGCACCGCGTAAGGCGCGCCACCACTCTCGTGGGCCAAGTAGCCTTCCACTACCGCCACCAGCTCCTTGTAAGGCGTCCATAGGTCGTCCGTGGTTGTTCCTGATTGGTAAAACGGTAATAGAACATAGTATTAACTAACCAAACAGCAAAATGTCTTTATTAGTACACATATATTGTTATTGTTTTATAGCACTAAGGAAGAGTAAAAGACCACTTGGATTGTATACGATCAAACATAATAAATCTGCATCTTGGTAGTAAGTAAATAACTAAATCATAACCTAAATGCAATCATAACATTGATCAATTTCTTGAGTCATTAGATGTTCACTTGCAAGCTGATGAAAGAGTGAAAATTAAAAGTAGATTATGAAAGTCATATCATGGTTTTATACAACGTTTATACCCGTATTTTACAGTTTAACTGAAGAAACCAAATGCCGCCAAGTAAGGTTAGCCAAATAGAGGTTACAATGATTACCTTCGTTAATATCCATCATGCAATATGGAGTACACCTCAATATTTCAGTTTATTGCACAGCACATAGGTGTTTAATGAATTATTTATTTATTGAAAACGGTGGCTTGCTTGAAATTGTTGTTTCAATTTTCTGACAGTTGCTTGAATGAAAACCACAAACAAGATAGACATTAATCAAAATAGAGATGCTCCTTGAACCGGTGTTTACAGATTTTGATAATTGAGCTCTTGAGAGATCGAGCAGATATCTTGGAGAGAGCTAATACCGACTTGCATTATAAATTTGGCCATGACCATATAAATTAAAATAATTAAACAATCCTTGCTTGATACATGTTGTGATGTTACTGCTCTTCAAGCAATGATTAAAAGTGTTATTTTAAAAAAGAACTTCCTAAAGTTTATGAAAAATTAATTAAAAAGCTTATAATCTGATAAATTTAAGACTTGTACTTGCCTATTTGTAGAAATTGCGATAAGATAATGTACTTAATCTAGGTGCAAGATAATAAATTTAAATAATGTAGGTATACATTACTTACACGTTTAAGTACTTACTATAAAATATAACCCTCCTTCTGGCGTAAATCGTAATCGTCGGGTAAAAACCGGGTACAAGTTTTGTGTGCTATGAGTGTTTAAGTATGACACAATATCAGGTCATCCGCGGAATGTTTTTTGTTTATGGATACGGAATTCCCCTAACAACTACGGTGGGGCATTGGAGACAACGGGAATAAACCGGAATGGGTCTGACTGGGAATATTTTTTTAAAGAATCAATAAAATGAACATGCATGGTTAAGTCACATGTATTTCATCATCTACAACATTTATTGAAGATTATTGGAATCTCGATATTTAACAGACAATCAGAATTTACTAATAGTAAAAGTTGTTAATAAAAATAACTCTCGTCATCTATTTAAATGCAAAATACAATACATTTTATCCAATAAATAACCTAATTAATTAGGCTTTAAATAGTTTGCTCTATGGTAGACAAAAAATCTGTACATTTGTTCCTGTAAAATGTGTTATTATAAAATACAATATTGTTGAAAAACTCTCCTACATTAGTAGTTTGAACAGGCAAAGAATTCAATACATCCCTTTTGTCTTCATTCTGCAACTTCTCACATTCGCTTTGTATTTGATCCAAGTATTCGAATGCTGCCTTGTTCTGAAGATTACACAAAATGATGCTGTTGCTAGATGTAAATCCAGTTCTTTCGAAACATTTTTTCGAAATAATATACACAAAACTCACATTGAAATGTGTTAGAAGATTGAAGTTTTGTATGAGAAGTGTTTGCCCAACAGTCAGTAACTTCATCATGTTGTAAATAGTTAGGAAACATTTCTTTTCGAAAACACCATAACTTTCGGATAAGTCAAACTCTGGCAAACACAACACTTGGTGTATTTTAATGTTTAAACTTTTTAAGTTTTGTTCAGTGCTCTTTACACCTTTAGTAAATATAATTTCTTTAAATTCACCTTCCGCTAAAATCTGCTGGTACAGTCTGAATATTGGCACAAATATAAACTTTGAGCTGTTTATTTTCTGCAATGGTAAGCCATACGTAAAAGTCAATTTTAGATTAATATCTTTATCGTAAAATGTCAGCCATTTCACTGGTTCATTTATCAATATTAGAGGATTAGTTAAAATTTCAGCCTGTAAAAAGGCATTTAAATTTTTGGATTTTTCTTTCAAGGACAATTTAGTATACAATTGCCTTTCAGTGTACGATCCACGATGATATCTAGGATTCATGTTAACCTTGTTTTCTTCATGTAAAATACCTTTCAGTATTTCTGATTCATATTCCAAAGGCTTCAAACCATACTGCCAAATAAATTCTGTGGCGACAATTGTTCTTATTTGTTTCATATCTCTGTGCAAAGCAATATTCTTCTGCATAAGATAGGCCTGTAAGTTGTCATTTATGACCTGACACTGAATTGAACAGAAATAGCAGGCACACTCTTCAATTTGCTTCAAAAAACTTTCAGGTATTGCATCAAGTGGAAACAACGAGTGACTGCCGTAAATCTCTGTACCATACGCTGATTTAAGCATTGGTACGTACATCTCTAAGCTAGCAAAGCCTTTGTAATTCAAACAAACAGCATAAACTTCAGAATTCCCCTGGCGCGAGGTAACGGGCTTGTAGATGTTCACTTCACCAAACAAGTGGTTAATCAAGTAGAGCAGGCTCACAGTTGAATGCTCAAACATTGTGAACAGTTTAAATATAAATGTACCACCTGAAAAAAAAAACAAATTAAATATTAACACAGTTGCAAGAAGTAAATATAATAAAAATAATAGTATGGGTATCTTAGAAAGTAGACCAGATAGATAAGCCCTCAATAAATATTTTTTTAAGAAGAGTTTACCTGGACTCAAGGCTTGAAGAGCAGTTATTATCTCACAATAATGGAGGGGGGATGTGACCTCTTCTTGGGCATCAGGCCTCTGCATGCAATCAATGGATCCATCTGCTGTGACTAACAGAACCTAGAAATAAATTAATAATGGTTTTGTCTGGTTGGGTAAAGCATTACACAAATAAAATTAGAATTATTACTGATCCACTTGAGTCAATAAGAGTGTGAAGTATTAAAATAAAAAGTAAACTTTGAGTTTACCTTTCCCAATGATTTGGCCTTCTTCACAATGGCTTGAGAATTTTCCCAGTCCATTAAATTCCCTGTATTATCTACACCAAAGTCCCAGTTGTTTAGAGTGTGAAACATGAATCTGTCGTCACTAATCATGTTTGATGGTGAGTTGCCCTCATAGTACGGGTTCAGTGTATTTGCCACCCACTTCCACTGGAAAGCAAAAGTAACACAAATATATTACCAATATAAGGAAGAATAGATATTAGACAGTACTTATGTCACATACAAAATCAGCTTACATCAATATTGGGATAATTTAACTTCATGTAATGATTTAAGGAAGTTATAAATGCACCAGGAGCCTCACAAAGGTGTAAAGAAACCATTTTTCCCTCAGACATAGCCTGTCTGGGAACTACACTGTAGGTTGATGCACATTCATAGAACTTAGTCCATGCTTGTGTGAGAAATTCAGGGTTGATAAGACATCTGATTTTCCACCCCACTTCCCCTGCTGGGTTTCGGCGCCGCGTGTGGCTGCTCCATTCTTCAATGTTGAAATCATTCAGTTGACTCTTATGGAAATTCAATCGGTTTTTGAGTATATCAAGCTCTTGCACTTTCCACGGAGGAGCCGAGAACCAAAGCTCTTTGTCTGGTAACTTCCAACTGCTATTGAACCGAAACTGAAATTTCTTATTGAACAAGTCATTTAATTCGACTTCAAACTCGCCATTTCTGAAGAATCTTTGCCGAGGATAAAACGAAAAGCTATCGGTGTTGCTAAACATTGTCTAATCTACTGTTTACAAAAATTGAGCGACCACAAGCTGAGAGATAAATGTATCTAAAATAAAGATATTATCAATATAAACAGCAGAAAATAGACAACTTTTTCCTTGAAAATCACATTCTTATGATAATTACAAGTGCGTAGTACGAATTAAAATAAAAACACCGAATAAATAAACACACATTTGGGGATAACCTGATGTCAATCGAATGACATTAATGACAGTATTGACAGTCAGTAATGATGGAAATATTACCAACACTAAAAAAAACACAAACTTCACAGCTCAACATATTTCCAAAACCGGTAATAGGGTAAACCACCCAATTATTGGCACTTTAAGCAGCTACTTCACAAAACCGGTAAAATTTACATGTAAAAATATGTTTTATCAAAGAAAAAAACANCCTAGAGTGTAATTTAAAAACCGGAGGCGCGGAGGGAGGGCAGCCCTCGCCCGCTGTAACGAGGCTCAGGCGCCCGGGCGAGCTGGAGTGCAAGTGCAACTCAAGTGCAGAGCAAGCGTGGGTGCCTGAGCCTCGTTACGCAAGGGCGGAAGGGCTGCACATCCCGCAGCGCCGGAGACGAGGAGATACCAATGCATGCTGCATGCTTGCTTTCATGCTGCATGCTCTGCATGCTTATCTACTCTATTAAAGCACAAATTAAAGCCTGGTCCGTGAGCACGTAGCATTTTGTCCAATGACCCCAAGCTACCCATCCTTATCGCTGCTTAATTATATTGCTCACGGACCAGGCTTTAGATTATATATGATTTTTTTTAAAGATACGAGTACCTATGTCTGTTATAAAGTAAATTATTCTGAACAACAACATTATGAGTTGAAGTATGTTCTTAGTAACAACATTATTAATTATAACAATATGATCAATGAATGTTATGAAAAAAAAAGATCTGAAAATTAAAATTATGTATTTTAAATGGTTCTTGGTAGTAACAGTATTGATAAAAAAATTATGATCACTAACTGTTATGAGCTCCGATGGTAGTAATAAAAATGTATGAATAAAAAAAGTATGAAAAATAAAATTATGAAGAGAGATTATTATGAACACAAATCGGTAGTAAGACAAAGAATAGGATTTAGAATTTTATGTGAGCCAATATAGAACCGCCTTAGCTACTTATTTTGGGTTGGAGTAATATATGAGATGTTGTCTAATATTAATTTAAGTATTTGTAATATTTTATTTATATTATTTTATTTATATTTCTTATTTATTTATACTATTTTATTTACTTTTATTGGTTACTCTGCAATGCCAAACAACATAACATTTAAAAATATCAAATCATTTTAGACAAATATATTTTCAACTTAGACTCGTCATATCTCAGAATTCCCATATCTCACAACATAGCGATTTAAGTGAATATACCTACAAGTATAAAGCTTTGAAATAAAATACGTTTCATCTTTGTCCGCTGTGGGGCATTTTCTCATATTAAAGTTCCCAATGTCCTTTAAGACTAAAAATGATAAGTGAGTTCTTATCCAATAACAAATAGAAGGTACCTGATTCTTACATTAGTATTTTATTTTTAACGTACAGGGGATTTAGTTTATTAATCCTCATTATAAACTCCATTGGCATTAACGGGGATTAATGAACAAAAAGTTCACTAATCCCGTTGACGGGGATTGTCAACGGGGATTAGTGGAATAAGACTTTGAGGCTTTGAAAGTGGCTAAAAAGATAATATTTTTTATTGGCACCTTTTTAACCAATGTTTGATACCCGTGCCAATAAATGGATTTTATATAATTGGCAGTGGGCCAACATTTGGATTGGTGTATCCAAAACGTTAGAAAATATTTTAAATGCAATTTAAACTCAATTTTGAGACATACAAGGTATAATTTTTAATAAACTCAAATTATTTTAAATACCCTTTTATTGGCATGTGTGCCAATAAAATGGATAAACAGATTTTATGCATACCAAATGTTGGCATACTACAAATAATTAAAAGTTGGCGGTTAAATTATAAAATAATGTTTTAAAAAGGCAGTTAATATATTCAATAATAAGACAAAATGATTATGTTTAAGAACAACATAATAGATTTGCATTTTTTTAAAAGATTATGATAGCTCTTTCCTTAGTAAAAAACGAATATTTCGATTGTTTTTTTCGCACAAGTCCCGGTTTGTCAAACAAATCGTTGAAGCGCCGCGATGTTTGAAAAAATAAAAAACGTGTGTAGCCAGTTGAGTAATAAATGATATTACTCTTCAATTTCTACTAAAAAATATAAGGTTTGGCTACAAAGAATCTTAATTTTCTTAAAAAACTGGAGCATGCCAATAAATTGGTAGAGTGCCAATGATTGGGTGGTTTACCCTACTACATCACTTGAATTTTTTTTTGCTTTGTCTATGACTAGATATGACAATGTCATTAATGTCAAGTTATAGCATACTCTCTAATCTGTGAGTTATAGTACATTAATTGTCAAAAAGGGAATGATCGCTTGTTGGAAATATTGATGATTTATTTTAATTTATTTTGGGTTTATATGAATTACCCTACTTTTTCACAGTTTTATGAAAAGTAATTTAAGTTGTACCCTACAAATTTGTATGAACCTATCGACTTATGTGACGAAAACGACGTGTGTACGTTTACTGAACTGACTCGCTTGACTGGACGAGACAACCAACGTATTACAAACTACAAAGGTATTACTGCTTACGTGCTGCTTACTGAAAAGATGTATAATAATTACTCGAATCGTTCTGAAGACCGCAAGGAAGAAAAACCGCCTTATTCTAGAATTTTTGTAGTATGCGGTAAGCAAACTCGAGAGGAAGACCTGCAACAATCTTTCGAGCAATTTGGTACCATAGAAGACTTACATATTCCGAGGGACCGTAACTCTGGGGAGCCTAAAGGTGTAGCTTACATCAAGTTTACGAAAACGTCATCTGCAGCAGCTGCTATTCAGGAGCTACACTTGAAACCACTGCGGGCCAATCAGAAACCTGTCAAAGTTATGATCGCTCTTAACAGAAGCGACCCAGGCACTAACAATGAGGAGAGATACAAAAGATTGTTTATCAAAGTCCATAAAGATATATCAGAAAGTGAAATAATAGATCACTTCTCAAAATTTGGCCGTGTCAATTCAGTCCATTTGCAAAAAGATAAAGCTACTGGTGTTTGTAAAGGCTTTGCTTACGTCCATTACTCCAATTTTTATGATGCGGCAAAGGCTTATGAAGAGTGTGATTCTAAATACAAACCTGTCTTTGCCACACCAAAAGATGAGTTGAAACGTATGAGACCCAGTCTTGATATGAGTTCTATGCCACATAATGAGAGTTCTTTAGGTAGTAACTATAGTATGAATGATAGTTTTAATGATAATTTGCTAAAAGATAGCCTTAACCTTACAACAAACTCACTACTTTGTAATTATAATACTATAATAGCTACCTGTAGCCCTCAAGTGTCTCAAAAAAGCATTGAGAGGCTCTTCAACATCGTGCCAGGAATGCAGCAGTGCCAGTACACTGCAGACACTTACAACGGGATCTGTAAAGCTGTTGTCACGTATGACAGCGAGAAGGCAGCGGCATATGCATTAGAAAGAATCAACAATTATGAATTTCCATCTGGCGAGATTGTTACAATTAAGCCAGACGATAACCCCCTCAATAAAGTAGCTAGTAACCTGGCAAACATAGTAAACAGTTTTAAAAATTCATTAGATGCTGGTAATCCTAACTTGCTTCAGTTAGCTGATGCTATAGCTCAGACTTCATCTTTGATAAAAGCAGCTACCACTGGTAAAATTGACCAAAAAGTGCACACCTCAGAGTCTGAGACTTATGGCAACGTGTGTCTGCCGCCTCCACAGCCTACGGTCGGCACAATGCACCGGGTAGCTCAGAGATGCTTTATTGTTTGTAAGCCATATCCACCTTCGTTATCCGTTTTACGGGATATATTCTGCCGTTTTGGAGATCTCATTGATGTGTGCACTTTTCCTAACAAAACATTTGGATTTGTGAAATATGCTAGTATTAGAGCAGCCCAGGAGGCTATGAGAACTCTCAATGGAAAAGTGTTACATGGCGTTCATTACAAAGTATTGGAGGCTGATGAGAGGCCATCCAAGGATGAGGACGCTAAACTAGATGACCCTGAATACCTAGAACCTAGCCAGGGAAGTAAAAGGATTAAACTTCATCAAAGCGACTGAGACCGAGGTTGGAGATAAGACTATTTGACTTTAATGAAATGCACCAATCGACTTTCACTATTATTATACGTAATTCATATTTAATTTCATTAGTTTAATTTTTTTTATATACCTCTAATGAATTTTTTAAATAAATATTTTGATTAAATGTTTCATTTTCTTAAAAACTACTAACATCTGACCTATCCTACTAGTTGACTAAACTACTATGCAAGGACATTCAATAAAAGAAGTGAGTGGTTAGCATACTTTATTCACTACTAGAGTACATAATTATACTTAAGGTATACTTGATTATTCATTTGACAGACTGACTTATTCATACTGGAGATTATAGAGACAAATTTTAAACTCCTACAGTCCTACACTTTTAACTTCACAATCACACATGTCATCTATTATTCACCAAATAAATGGATGTGTTCGAAAATGTACCTTCTCAATAACAAAATATTTTAATTTTTGGGAATTTTTAATTGTACTTTTATAGCGTACAACACAGAGAAAGCACTGGTTATAGTAGACATAATAATCATATCACATTCAAATAGCCATTACATGCTCCATCTACACTAAGGATTACAAAGAGTTGGTTACAATACTCTTACATGGAGCAGTGCTTTGACAAGATTATAAGATCTGTGACCACAACAACCTTTAGGGAGAAAAATGTTCTACATTTCAGTTATCATTGTGATCCTTTACATCCATGAGAATTAATTTTTATTTTGAAGGAAATATGCCACTTCATTGATTCCAGAGAGCAGCCTGTTTATGATGTTGTCATAGTGCTGAGTGCTGTTGCTCTGGACTGTAACGTGCGACCTGTTGGCCTCACTGACATACGTTCGTAATTCCACCAACTGCAAAATAAGAAAATACATTTCAATTTAATTCAAATACTTATTGCAAGCCATGTTTAACTTGGAAATTAACAAATAATACCTGACAAAACTTTTCCACCTCCCTGCACAACTCCTCCAATTTGCGATCAAGATCTGGGTTTCTTTGGTTCTGGCGCTGGCTCAGTTTCATGCGAGTCAGCCGCCTGCACAGCTGATCCAAAGCAGTTGCATACTGGGTTAAGTCCAACTCTGGCGTCCCTTCGCGCGCCTGGATTGCTTCCAGTTCGGGCAGCACGAAGTTATTTCGGAGCTCCTCAGCATAGCCTCTCATGCTCTGTATCACATCATCTACATCAACTTCCTCGGCGTTACTCTCCGGCATGTCCGCCATTAACAGCTTTGGCGCAGCAGCATCCAAAAAGTTAGACACGTCCTCTTGTTTCACGTCGTTAGCGCCGGCAGCCGCACCTGGCTGCTCACGGCGGGTCTCCGCTTCAGGGATGTACTCGAACATATCCTGAAGTTCCATCATGGCTCTCTCCGATTCTGCGAGAGACATATCCAAGCTATCTGTGATTTTTTGCAGAGCATCTATTTTCGCAAGCTTTTCCAAATATTCAGAGTAGTCAATGGGAATAGCTTTATGACAATTGGGATCCATTGTTTCAACACTTGATAGTATTCAACGTTTTTCACAACTTCAGTTTTCGCAAGTTAGAGAGAGAGATTTACAAGAAAATTTGAAAACAAGCGATGCAAAATTCAACACAATCGATCGATCACGTTTTTGACACATACGTGTCGTTCGGAAACTTTACCAAAGTTATTATTAGTTAATATTGTGGATTTCATATCCGTTGCATTAAAAAGTAACTACAACGTAATAGTGTTTTGGAAGTTCCTAAAATTATTAAATAATATTTAATGAAGACTTCTTGTAAGCAGAAAACAATACAATCAAACAGAAATTCAATAAAATTAAAATAAACCCTTGTTTTAATTTTTTCTATAAAAATGTAAAATTCCTGAACGTTATCAAAAGTATTGATTTTTGTGGATTTTCTCTGCTGGCTGAGCTGCGCTGCGCGACATTTGTGCGCGAGCGAGCTAGCGAGCTACCATTCCATACCATTCTACTTGCTGCTGTTCGCCTCTGTTGCAAACATAGAAATTGCACGTGTTTTACCAAAACATACATTGAAGTATTGAAAAATGGTGCGGAAATTGAAATTTCATGAGGAGAAACTGCTCAAGAAGGTTGATTTCATATCATGGAAGGTGGATAATAACTTGCATGAGGTGAAAATAATGAAAAAGTATCACATTCAGAAACGGGAAGATTACACGAAGTGAGTATTGATTTTTCTTATGCACCTGCGCATTTGCACATTTCAACAAGTTAAATGTTTAATAAATGAATTTTAACGTCTGTTTAGATACAACAAACTGTCTAGAGACATCAGGGCCCTGGTCGAGAAGATCATATCGGTGGACGCCTGTAGCGACTTCAGGATTGAATGCAGCGCTCGGCTGTTGGAGAAACTTTACCAAATGGGGCTGATCCCGACTCGTTGGGACCTGATCCTGGCGGCGAATGTGACAGCGAGCGCGTTCTGCCGCAGGCGGCTGCCCGTGGTGATGGTTCGAAGTAAGTTATCATTCAACATCATCATTTTTTTACCTTCAATTACACATTATTACTTCAATGAGGGCTATCGTTTTTATACTTAACACTGCAGTACACGCGCCCCTTTTTTTACACGAATACACGCGCGGCCTACTCTGGTAAGCCAATTTAAAATCACTGTAAATCAGTTTATAAGCAAATTATGAATAGAATTACTATGTAAATGATAAAAGTGTTTATTATAGTTATTTTATAATCAAAGTTTCTTTATATAACTATTTCGGATCAAACATTATAAACAGATTTAAAAGTTGTAAATTTTTTGGACCAAAATTGCACTCTGAGACCAATGTTAACAAAAACAATTTGACTGAAATAATATGATTAGTTTTTTATCTGTCATAGTATTCATGACTTTCTACTGCCTGGTACACGGTGTAAATCCATTTGTTACAAGTCTTACGTATTTTTTTTGTCGAGTGATTTCAGGCTTTTGAGTAGACCCGTAGTTTTGACGGCCAATTTTAGAAAAGTGCGCAGACTCTAGCGACCCAAGCTTTACTGGCTTACTGACAAATTTAGTAAACGAGGCTTTCCTGGAATGCCAGCTCTCTGGCGCAAGTTTTCAAAAAGTTATAGCGTAAAATGTTACCCTGGTCTACTATAGTAGTCCGCGCGTGTACTCTAGTGTTAACAGTTGGCACGCCTGGCGATTGACAGGACCTTACTCTACAGTGGCGCCATCTTGATGAGTGCAAATGCGATAGTCCTCCTACCACTTTCGCGCTCACCAGTTGGTGCCACTGTCGCTACTAGCAAGTGACAGGACCTTACTCTACAGTGGCGATAACTGGTGAGCGCTAAAACGATAGCTCTCATTGTCTACATTTGCGTATTTACACCTTTTAGAGCGAAATACTGGCTTGAGTGACAGGATTATTATAGCCTTGTATCATAGTAAAGCCTTGTATAGAATAGAATATCCCTGTCACAACATGGTATTTTATTTTACTAATCCATGACATTTCATTCAATTCCAGATAGCATGGCCGAGAACTTGATTGAAGCCACCAAATTCATCGAGCAGGGGCACGTACGGGTGGGCACCGAGCTGGTGACGGACCCGTCCTTCCTGGTCAACAGGGCTCTGGAGGATTTCATCACCTGGGTGGACGGCTCGGCCATCAAGAGGCACGTCTTGGAGTACAATGACCTGGTAAGTTCAATTATCATTATATTTATAAAAATATGTTGTTACCAAAAAAATTCTGGCATACAATACCTTTACTTTTTTAAACTAATCAACAGCTCCTCAAACCAATCAATTTAGTTGCAAAATATCTATTTCGCTCAGTCACAGCATTTAACTTATTCACTTTTTGTGCAATGTAGGTTATGTAATAATAATATACGATTATTATTGTCTTTTGTGCAAAATGTAGGAGTTTAATATTTTGATTATTCTTGTTTCAGCGTGATGACTACGATGATTAAATCAAGCAAGAGGAACTGCTGGAATGCTGCTGTAAGCATACGCAGAAGAAAAAACCAAAAAAATCACTTTTTGTGTTTATTGTGCCAGTTTTGTAACCTCTAGTTATTTTAAAGTACTTATTTATTGTCCAAACAAAATATGTTAGGGCAGAAATGCAAACTTTGCAATTAGCGATTTTGCATTTATCTTTGTTGTTTTGCATTTATGTTCTATCCAGTTTTGGCCACTCTGCGTTGAATCGTAGAATAAAAAAACATGCATGTTTGTGAGTGCAGAAATGCTGCAGCTCATTTTCTTATTTTTTTTCTCTACCAAAGGGTCAGGATACCCTAGAATGTATGTGGCAGTATCAGTGCACTTTTCTTGCCAGTGTGTACATCATTTTGTTATGATTTGAGCTTATTTCAATCATAATGTCACATTTATGTTTCTTGATGTTTTTATTGCCATTTTTTGAGTGCCGCTTTTTCAATGATAAATGTTTGAGAGAAATTCACAAACTTGCTTTACATGTGGTTTTATAAGTACCTAAGTAGTTTTCTGTGTGCAGTTTATCATTCCGTAAAACTGTATTGTAGGCCTACTGGGTGGTCCAACTGGATTGACTGGGGCGACGAATTTCTAAATTTGGTAAATAAAATTTACCTTTTCGAAAATTTTGGATCCTTGAATCCACATTTGGTGATAAGTATTATATACATTTTTGTTGGAAATCTGTATTAGTTTTATTTTATAGTGTGTTTATTTCTGAATATAATCAGATAGATTTGTAAGTTACTTATATGTACTATGTACTACTGACTAGATTATATCCGTCGATTATACGAGTATCATATCCTAATTCTGCATGTCAGCTCTCAGACTGGTACAAGACCAAAATTACCACCTTCTGCAATTTTCGACGTCGTTTTGTGTGGGTGAGCAGACTGAGGTGATACGACTATGTCTGCTTCAAAACTGTGTGACGTTTTACGAGGGGTTAACGGATTTTGTGTTGCACAAACTAATTACTAATATTCTTAAAAATTCTGGAAAATTGCGAAGTGGTCGTAATGGTTTTGCATATGTTTTGATTATCTACTTGAATTAATAAAAAATAAAACATACTGTAATCAACAATTTATTCAATATTAAGCATATAATACTCAGAAAACTAGTGTCTAATTGGTGTCTTAAAAAAAGATATGTACATTCCATTTGCTTGTAACTTACTGAAAATAACGACAATTGAGTGTTTAACACATAGTTCATGAAAGTTGAACAATATTTAAAAATGTATTGTAACTTGAATGAATCTCAATAAAGTACATTGCACATGGCGCCGTTGTTTTAGTTTGCTTTTGGTGAATATTCTTTCTCATTACAGCATTATCTGATCTGACTGGTAATTAACAAAATGGCGGTTTTGAGACGTAGTGTCTGCGCGTGTGATCGGTTCGGCATCGTCCGGGCGGGAAAGCCAATACAAAGTCTCATATAGACGAGTTACTCTATGAAGCCAATGCTGAGATCGATATCGGTGCGGTGGACTCGGTTAGCGCGAGCGCCCCGCTGCCCGCACCACACCCGGCGCTAGGGATGTGAGAACAATAACATTGCACATGCATTAATTTGGTAATCTGTAGCCCGGCATTGAACTCGAAGCGCTTGACGAGACAGACAACACGTCATCAGTGTGCGCTCGACTTTCCAAGACCGCTGCGATCTGCGCGATAGCATTGGCCTGCGCCACAGCTGCCTCGGCAAGCCTCTTCAGGGCTTCGGCCTGGATTAGGGCAGCTTCAGCGCTCTTGGCCGACGCTTTGGCTCGATTCTCTTCCGCTGTCGCCCGTAGTAGCTCGGCGTCGGCACGTTTCTTTTCAACTTCTATTAACCATTTGGGATAGAGATCTGAAAAATACAAAGTAAAATAAGAATAATTTACGGCGTTGTAATTAAATAAATGCAACCAACGGCTATTGTAAATGATTGCTATAACGCGTATTTGAAGATCACCTTAACGTTAACACAGGTGTAGCATTAAAAAACGAGTTATTAATTTTATTTTTCTAGTCGCCCTATGAGCCAGGTTAGCTCTTGCCTCTTACACATAAACATGATGCGACGTCGTGTCGTCCTACCATGCGGCATTATAACATGCATAACATCGTATTGTGGAAATCTACGGCACGATATTGCAACGTAACACAACGACGACGACACGCCAGTTAATATTGACACGACGACGACACCGATTCATGTGCCGTACTTGACATGATTCGGTGTCGTCGTATATTTCCCCGATACGACGTCGCACAATGAAAATGATGTATCGTCGTAACGTGTTTTTTTTTAACAACCCTTAAACTGTATTTAACTAACAGTGGGACTGTTTATTAAAACATAATAATTGCTTACTTACTGTGCACTAAAGGGTCGTTTGAGTTCAAATCTGTGTCATCCATATAATCCTCATTACTGGACTGGGCACTATCTTCACTTTCTCTGTCTACACCTGTACAGAAAAATAAAATAAAGTTAAATTAATGAGGGTTTTTGTGTATGAGAAATCCACTAGATGGCGGGACGTGGATGTGGGGTCTGACTGCTGCGTGATTGGTGGATTTTGACATATCTGTCAATGTCATGTCAAAAATAACCAATCATGCAGCATTTGGACCTTGCGTCTACGTATTGCCATCAGGCGGATTTTTCATATGTGAAAACCCTCATTGGTAAAATATTACACACATGTAAACAGCTAAGTTGTGACTTTTTTGGACAATTTAAAGAGTTATTATTTCTGCAGTTTTAAATAGTCTTATTCTTAACTTGCCTGATAACCTGTCATTAGAGTTCTCCATTTGATCTTTACAGTATTCATTGTTTTCTTGGAATGTCTCAAGTTTTACTTCTGGTGGAATATCTGCCTGAAAACATATTAAGATATAAATGAGCACAAACATACCTAGAATACTTAAAGGGAACCTTTATACAAATTGTTGGGTTTAAATTAAAAATACAGTAGCTTTTATGTATTGAAGCTCTGGCTCCCAAAGTAGTAAAAATTATATTTCAAGAGAATTAACATGTTGAATGACATAAACTTACAGATTTATCCACAAATGCCTCCGTCCTGGACAGCATCTTCTCAAAATGTGGTGCTAAGATGACAAGTGCTTTCCTTTCCAGTTTTGTAAGTGGTGTAATTGTTTTATCCAATGCAAATCCAGGCTTTTGCCTATTTAGTGTTCTTACTTTATTTTTTAACTTATTTTTAAAGTCACTCCAGTACTGCAATCAAATAAAATTTATGATAAGTTTTGTTCTATACCTTTTAATGTAAATTAATGAGATACTAATTAAATTATTTTAAACTTTCTATAGCAAACAAACCTTACTCCATCCATCAGCTGTTTTTTTAGTGCCCAATCTACAATCATTCAACATTTTTGTCAGCTCGGCCCAAAGTTTTTTTGATGTTTGGCGAGCTTCGAGCGTGCGTAGACTGCCTGTAGCAAACTGAATATTCTGCCCCATGAAATCGACTAGAGTTTTCACTTGCTCGTATGATACGAGACGAGTTCCAGTATTATCCTCAGCCATTACGCTAAAAATAAAATAGTTGAATAAAGCAATCAGATATCTTATTGTATTTTGTTTCTTTGTCTTAACTTACAACTCAAAACGTCTTTTCTTCGACATTTAATTCTTTATTCACGAATTAAAATTAATTTTTTCGTAGAATTTCCTGAAATGCTGAATTTTTTGTTGACTTTGACATGTTTGACATGTAAACAAATAAGCATAGACAAAATAGACAATAGCACAGACTAGAGAGTAGGATGACCAAGGACAAGTTAACAGATTAAAAATAATTTAAGGGAACGGATATGATCACGACATGTGCGTTTGGATACAGATACTAAATGTCACATTCAATAATAGTAGAAATATTTTTTAAATTTATGGCAACACTGAATGTCTTGAGCGAGGTGTGAGGAGAAAATGAAAAAATAAATTAGGAAAAGAAATGGCAGTTACTCGAGAGAAAGAAAATTGTTCAAGAAAAATTAATGGAAATATACCTGCCTTATCCCTCAATAGTGATAATATGTCGACATCTACTGATAGTGATGATGTAGCAGATCCCACATATGAAATACGGAACATTCAAAGTATTATTAACGTGACCCGTGAAAACATTGACGCTCTAAATGCAAAATTCGCTGGTTTCCAGCATCCCCCTTCGTTATATTTATCGGAATACCAAGAGTTGACATCGAAGTTACACGACTTAGAGACTAGGGAGCGGACTTTACGTGAATTGTTACAGACTGACTCGCCGGATAGGAGTGAAGAGTGTTCTTTGCAGGATGACTCGAAGAAGTACGATACCCTCACGCGGCAGCCGAAGGTGTTCCTTCGGGCGCACCTGCCGAACCAGCAGCGGACCAGCGTGCAGGTTAAAGAAGGGGTGACGTTGCGAGACGCGCTTTCCAAAGCGCTAAAACTTCGGAACTTGACGTGTGAAATGTGTGAAGTGGTTAGGACAGGCAATAATCAGGTGATACCGTGGGATGTGGACATAACTAGGATTGACGCAGAGGAGGTCAGTGTTTGATTATATTTATTTATCTTGAAATGTTTTGTTTATCAAATCATAAAAAAGTAAGTGGAACCAATTCTGAATATTTACTAACTCACATTCTTCAAGTCTCGAAACTTTGGTGAAAATTATTTCAACAAACCACAACAGTATAGAATGATGTTCTGGTCAATCTCATATTTTATAATAAAAAGGTAGTAATGTTTTAGTTAAATTAGACAAAAATTATGTAAAATTGCTAAAAAAATTTTGTAAAGTAGGTAGGATTTACTTTGATAAGTGATAGAATTGTTAATATAACACACCACCTTAGTAATGCTGTCAGTAGACACTGCAGATCCACATTCTGAGGAAAACCACATGATGCAACCACTTAATTATTTTTTTCCTTCTTCTAAAAGTAATACAGTGTTACTGACTTTCATACCTACACCAATAAACCAATTTATGCAACACTTTTTAGTGGCCGAAAATTGTAAATGCATTTGTTAATAAATAATAAGCTTCCTACTTTTAAATGATTTATTTTGTCAATTAACTGTAATCCAATTAATAGGTATTCAGTATTAAATTTTCGATGAACATGTTATATTTTAATAGAAATTAAGAATAATACAAATAATTAACCTACATAGACTAAATATTCGTTTTGGATTTAAATATTGTAAAAAAGTATTTGTTGACTTGTAAATTAATCTGCTAGGTTGTGTCTTATGATTTTGTTATGATTTTTTGAGTCTTTGTAAATTCAATATAAAAATGAGCTGACTGAATGCAGAGATTCCAGACACAATTGAAAGTAATAATGTCCCTTCTAGATTATTCCTAAGATATACAAAAGTTTAATGAATGAATAAATAAATCTTCAGTGTTTTTTAAATTTTGATTAAAAAAAATGTTTTTTGAGTTAAAATTGAAAATTTGAAAATGAGGGGCATTTTCGATATGAAGTGTTTCTTTTTAGAAATTTCTTCTTTTATTTGGCTGTTTTTGTATACTGTGTATGTTTTCAGGTATATATGGCCTTACATAGAGTAAAATCTATTGGTTGTGAAAGAAACAGAAAATAATTGTTAAATGATGGCTATTCTATTTTGTGAAATGAGTGAACTTTTGGTGACTGTTTAAATTGTGATGATGTTTCTGTATAGTCTGCCAGCAAAGGTTTTTGAATTATCGCGTACTAGGCTGGGGCTTCAGTCAGTCCCAGATGCTCACGCCGCATTCGCGTAATCTAATGCAGCATAATGTGTGTCAATTTCGAGAAATATTTTCCAGGAAGTTTGCGTCAAATTGGCATCACTAAAAGTAGTCTAGCAGCGGCGGGAATTATTGTTGCTCGTTGAAGCTAAGGTCTCTTGTTTGGAACGTACAATTACTCTGCTAATAGTATGGGCAGAGTAAATACAAATGAGTAGGTCATCTTCACCTTTAACGCACCTCACCGCTAATCAGTGTTTTTGTCAGTGTGTGCGTGCGCGCCGCATACGTATTGGCGCGCGCTCACATACAAACCGCGCTCGGTGCGTTTCTATGAACATGACCTACTCATTTGTATTTACTCTGGTATGGGTCATATGATGATGGGGTGATGTTTCAACGTTCTAATCAAGAGACCTTCAGGCTTCATAAGGCAGGCACTGACGCTGGCTTACTATGGCGTCCGCAGGTGACCGTGCGAACGCTGGACAAGCTGCCGATCATGTCGCACATATCGCACCAGTTCACGCGCAAGACCTTCTTCACGCTGGCCTTCTGCGAGTGCTGCCGGCGGCTGCTGTTCAACGGCTTCTACTGCTCGCAGTGCAACTTCAAGTTCCACCAGCGCTGCGCGGACAAAGTGCCTAGCATCTGTCACCAGGTGGGTCTGCCAGCTGCCCTGTATATCGCAGCAGGTCACGCGAGACGTCCCTCACGCTGCCTTCTGCGAGTGCTGCCAGCGGCTGCTGTTCAACGGCTTCTACTGCTCGCAGTGCAACTTCAAGTTCCACCAGCGCTGCGCGGACAAAGTGCCTAGCATCTGTCACCAGGTGGGTCTGCCAGCTGCCCTGTATATCGCAGCAGATCACGCGCGAAAGAGAGAGTTCCCCAGGGTGCCTTTTACGAGAAAAAGTACTAACTAAATTGAGAACAGAATGTAGGATTAAGTATAATTTGAAGATGTGTCTCTAGCGTTTAAGCACTTTTTTTACACTGGCAATATCACGGTAAAGCGAGCTAGAGACGTATACGCCGTGATACCGCTGCGATTTGAATTTGAATTGACGGCTCGCAAAAAAATCGGAAAAATTGCTAGTGTCCGAAAATCTCTTAAATGCTTTACCGAAGCTCATAACCTCCAGTCCTGCGAGATCTGGAAAGCGTTCAAAGAATGGACCACTCCCTAAAGCAGTGAAACCGTTTTCAAAGGAATTGTCTCACACCTTTGAACGCAAACAATTTTTACCTTACGGTTACACGCCATAGTTTTTCTGCCTCCACTGTAGTGGTGGAGGCTCATAGTCCAGCAGTAGACTGTAAAGGGCTGTTGATGATGAAGCCTCCATCTCCAGCTGTAATCGTTACGTTAACCTCTCCACAGGTGCGGATGACAGACACGTACTACGCGGCGCTGTTAGCGCAGAACCCAGAAAGACAAGCGGGCATCCTGCACTTTCCGCCTCACTTTGGCTACCATCCTATGATGCACCGCGGCGATCAGAAGTCAGTATTGTTTTGCTATTTTATTAGAAGTATTAGTATAATCTTTATCAATTAAATCTTTTATCGTACGGCTGACGCTTTGTGTTATGGCGGATTTACACTACGCGGAAATTAGCCGAGTCAAGTCAAAAAAACAGAGGAGTGAGGATAAAATTAATTCATTTTTCATCCCCACCCCACTGTTTTTTTGACTTGACGTGGCTAATTTCCGCGCAGTGTAAAAGCAGTATTAGAAAGTTGGATTCTTTCCATCTGAAGGCCGAAAACAATGGCAATGAAGTTAGGGCATTGTTGCCTATAATAAGGCTCATAATTTATACTTAATAATAATAGGTATCACTGCAAGGAATCTTCATATCAACTGTGGGGTTAATCAGGGGATACTCCCAGGCCCAGTAGCCCATACAAGATGTTTTTATCCAAATTAGATGTAACAAGAATTTCAATGAGCTTTTACTTTAGTTTTCTTGCTCGATTCAGGTTAGATCGTAAGTTCTACCGTACATTTATTCCATTTATAACACCTTAGATATTTGATTAAAGAATTAGGTACTATCCATTGATCAGCACCTTATAACTATATCACCTTATAATGCCACTCTTGTGGCGGAGTTTTGGGCTGACACTGTGTAGGTTTGTTGTCGACACGAAAAGAAGAAGCACCTTATACAGGGTGTTACTTTGCATTCTTGCCATATTTACAGAGGTTACTATATTACTGATACTGAACACAAATCCGTAAAAAAATAATGACCGAAAAAAATTTTTTTTAATCTTGAGTATTTTATTTTATCGACAATCTGTTAAACACATCACTAATTATCGTAACGCATGCACATCACTTGTTGGCGATGGCGATGAAGACTTTTTTACTTTTTATTGTATTTTTAAATATCTATTGCAATCTATTGTCTTTAAAATGTCTTTTTGACACTTGTAAAAAACTGAGAAATCCGTCAATCACAAATCACGTTATAAATAATACCTACAAAAATGTCTGAAGTGTATTCAAACAACGAATAATTTAATCAAAATGGTGCTTGGAGTGTCTGCAAGACGTCTTAGACGAAATGCTTGATGACGTACCCTTAGCGTTACACCAAATGCTCTACTACCAGCAGGATGGTGCTCCCCCACAATAAGGACGTCAAGTGCGCGAATAATACGTTTGGTGAACAGTGGATTGGACGAGGGGTCCAGTAGCTTGGCCACCACGATCCTCGGACCTGACACCAATGGATTTTTGGAGTGACTTGAAACGACTGGTATGCGCAGAAGAGATAAACAGTGTAAACGCGTTACATGAAAGGATTGTTTTAGTGAAACTGTGATACAAAACGTTTATGTGTTGCGAAAACTAAAGCGAAAAACCTACGCTTCGCCGTGCTAGACTGTGCCTTCATCAGAACGGAGGACACTTTGAACACTTGCTTCGCAGTACGTAAACTTTGTAAGTAGGAACTTATAAATAAATAATTAATTGAGAATAAGGTGATTTAATTTCATACTTAATTTATTAATTTGTAAAAATAGGGTGCAATGTTAAAATTAATTAAAACCCTAATAATTATTACGTATTTTTGACGGTCCTAAGCCCGTAAAGTAGAAAGGAAAATCTGAAATCAACTGAAGAGTATTTTTATGACTGGATAAAAAGGCTGGTACCCAGAGCCATAAAATTAAGAACTAGGCCACGCCCACTAGGTTTATTCCACTTGCACCTGTAGAACGTGCGAGACAAAATGGGTTTATTCCAATTTGTACTGAAAAACGAAATTTACTAAAATCTTAGTGTACTTTCTTTATGGGAGTCTCTTGTTTATCTTAAATAATAGGTATTGTTCCCTATTTTTATCTCTGTGAATATGGCAAGAATGCAAAGTAACACGGTGTAGATACTTGTTTTAACAGAGTCCTCTAACAACGTCACAGAATAGTGTTGTGAAATCTTTTGCCAATATTGCGAAGTGTACAAATAATGCTGTTATCATGTCCAGGTCTGTTTCGCCCGCCAAGAAGATGAAGGAATTTGATGTGCACTGGTGTGTACCGTATCCGTAGACCCGTCGCACTGAGCTTGCTTTGTACATAGCAACACTCTGTGCCGTAGTTGTGGTCACTGTCCTTTCTTGACGATGCTTTGAGACTTAACATCGATATACCTGTAGCACAGCACTAATACGTCCCGGTTTATAACTGATTTTTACATGTGTAGTTGTTGCGTGCTATTTTTCTATGTAGAATAAAAAGAAACTGATGTCAATAGACCTAACAAACCTCTTTGCTCTTTATTCTGCGAAAAATACGTTGAGATGCGAGCAGAAAGTCGCTAAAACTATTAGCCGACGTAAAACTGACCAATGGCAGTGCAAAAATATGCTGCATGCTGCCTAAACCTAATTTTGGTTGGTTGATTCTAAAAAGTAATCCATATCAAAAATCACATTTACTGTGAAATTGTAAAACGCATGTCGTTTCTGTTAATAAATATATTGTGATTTACATATTTACTACATCGCCCAAAAACCATTCAGTTTTTATCAAAGCAACTCACACCTCTTCTCTGTGTGCTCTAAATCCTATCCTACTATTCTATTGTAGTGTGTGTAAATATGTATTCAGTGGAGACTTCCTGACGATGTTTCTAGATTTCAGTATTTCATCCCTGTCACGTAAAGCGTAAAACCAGCATGAGTGAAAGCGACAATTTAACTCGAAAAGACCGAAATGTCGTTGGATGTCTCGCGGATCTGAAGTTATTAGTAAAATTGTGAGCAAGTCTGATCAGTCAGCGATTACTTTTAGATTCTTGACTCCATCGCGTCAAGTCTCAGTCGCGAGTGGACTCACCACAATAGTCGAGCGGCAGCGGAGTTCGAAACCGCGTTCTTCGGATGTCGAGTCAGCCAGTCCGACCCCTTAACATTCAGCTATCGTGGCTTCGAGTGATAGCCGTGGCATAAAAGTGTTCCTATAAACTGATCAGGCTTGCTCCCTTCATCAGCCAGTAGTATAACTCCAATTGCACTGCAGGCAACAGCACCCGCGGTCGCTGAACCAGCAGGACCGCTCCAACTCGGCGCCAAACGTCTGCATCAACATGGTGCAGAGGCCCATGACGCTGCCGGAGCACCAGCCTAAATATAACCAGGTAAGGGGCCATCCATAAAGTACGTCACACGAATTTCATGATTTTTTGACCCCCCCCCTCCGTCCTTGTCACAGGTGGTCACATTTCTGAGACCCCCCCTCCCTAGTGTGACGTCACATGTTTTGCAATTTCACATCGAAAAATTATTAAATTGACAGCAGTTTCGAAATTAGTTTTATTTCTATTTAAATTAAGTATATTTTTTTAATATGAAATCAACATTATATCAAATATTTGAAACAATTGNAATAATGGTATAATTTTACTATGTTTCATCAGGGTGGGGAACTGACCTTTGTTAATACATTCATTAAAGATATGAGCTAAATGGGGAGCTATAAGAGGAATGATGGGTTTTATTATGTCTGTTGATATGCCCCATATATCCTCTGTTTTTTTTATATATTTTGATGACAACGTATTGCTTACTTTTTCAGCTGTCGAACGAATCACTTTTATACTCATAGGTCCTGTACATCGGTAGATTTGGTAAATAAATGAATCCATCCGGACTCAGAAACTAAAAAAATTAAAATAACTGTAATTTTTTAATACTGGNGCATTCCGAATAAAATTCCTATAATAATTAATTAACCCTAAAAATGATTGCAACTGACTTAAATCTTTAGGTCTAGGTGCTTCGACTATTGCTTTTATTTTTTCAGGTGACTTTTTTATACCATTTTTGTCAATAACATGGCCTAGGTAAGTGACTTCATTTTTAAAAAACTCACATTTATCTTTCCGTAGGGTTAAACCTACATCGCTTATTATTTGTAACACCTTTTTCAGCCTTTCCATGTGGAGGGCCCTGGTTGGGCCTGTGATTAATACATCGTCTAAGAAACACAGTACCCCTTCCATGCCTAATATACTCTCCATTGCCCTTTGAAAAATAGCTGGCGCCGATGACAATCCAAACACTAATCTTTTGTACTTAAATAATCCTTTATGTGTGTTTATACAGGTAATGTTCGCATCGTCAACTATCTCAAATTGATTGTAAGCAGAAGACATGTCTAGCTTAGAAAACTGCACCCCGCCATGTAATTTAGTAAATAATTCTTGTACTGTTGGTAATGGATAGTGTTCTAGTACAAGTTGTTTATTTATAGTTTGAGAGTAATCGGCGCAGAGACGGACTGAGCCGTCGTTTTTTAATACAGGAACGATAGGCGATGCAAACTCTGAATACTCAACTGGCTGAATTATACCTAATTTAATTAACCTATTTAATTCTTGGTCAATCTTATCTCGAAGCGAAAATGGTACCGGTCGTGCCTTAAAAAAAACTGGCTTTGCTCCTTCTTTTAATTGTAACCTAATTTTGTATTTGTTAAAACATTCTATTCGATCGGAAAACACATCTGAATACTGAATAAGAAGAGCTTGTAATTCTTGATCATCTGATGATGAATTGCAAAAATTTATGGGAGTTAACTCGAGTCTGAACCGGGCAATAAAATCACGGCCTAGCAGCGGCGGCCCCCCGTTGTCAATGACGTACACGTCGAGATTTTTAGTCATCCCTGAGTACGTCACTGGCAACCGCACAAAACCTAAACTTTTTATCTCGGTTCCCGTATAGTTAATCAAATGTTTTTTACAGGGCAATAATGGAACATTGCTAAACAGATTTTGATAAGTTTTATTTGATATTACTGTAACTGATGAACCACTGTCAATCTCAAAGTTTAAGTTAATGCCATTTATGGAAACAGTCTGTGTCATTGGAGCCCCGTCATAAGAACGAATATTGAAAAACATACCGTCGTCCTCGCCCTCGCTCACCTCGCCTGACTCCACATAATTCACTTGTTTGCACATTTTACGCAGGTGCCCTTTGACATTGCATTTGTTACACTTGTAATTCGCAAATTTACATTCACTCGCTTTATGATTTTTCCTACCACACACTGAACACTGATTATTTGCACTGAAATTGCCGTTAGATTTCTGTTTGTTTCCAATCTTGAAGACCGAGTCGGCGCCGGTCCCCGCTGACGAGCTCGCTGCCGCTGCGCGTGCGCAGCGCACACTCTCCGCCAGGTCGACTGCCTCCCTCAAGGACAGCCTCTCGATGTCCATAGTGAAGAGCTTTTCTCGTTCCGGACCTTGCACCATCCCCATGACAAACTTATCCAATAGCACTTCTTCGAGATTCTTGAAGTTACAGTGCGCTGCTAGCCCTCTTACCCGGGCCGCCCACTGTGTGTGAGTTTCGCCGGACCGTTGCACCGCCATATAAAAATAGTGCCTTTCGACGAATCCACATCTCTTTGGAGTGAAGTGTTTATCTAGGACTTCTACAATTTCTTCATATTTCACTAAATCCAGTGACTTCGGCAAAACTAGGTTGGCCGCAAGTTGGTAGGAATTCTCTGTGAGTGCACTAAGTAAAATCGCCCGCCTTTTCACTCCTCCTTTGTCCACTGTATCATCTATACCATTTGCTATGAACCACTGCTGTAGCCGGCTTCTATAAGTGATCCAATCTTGCTGCTGATGGTCAAAATTGGTCAAAATTCCAAAAGTCGTAGACGAAGTCATTTTTCTTTTAAAATGTGGGTAATCCGATGTCGCCACTGGTAAATACGTGGGAACGAGTGAAACACCGGGCTGCTCGTAATGCACTGAGTGTATTCGGCGTACGTTCGTGTGGTGTCGTAGCACGCACATAAGTATAACTATACACTANACACTAAATAATAATTTTATTTTAATCTTTTTAGTTAAATAACATGCATTTTTGTAAGCTACTTAAGAAGCCCTTTATTTTGATACCCCACTCGATAGGTTTTGAGAGAAAAAAAGTTTTTTAAAGACATTATGGCGCCTAAAATCCGCCATTTTTTTTTCAATTTTAATAAAGCCAGTGTCACTCACGAAAGACCAATCTAACGATACATCTCACGCTAAAATCGGTCAAGCCGTTTATTCTGTAGGCCGTGCCAAAGTAATATACATACATAAACTCGAAAAACATAACCCTCCTTCATCTCTTTCTTCTCCAAACATAAAAAGTTAATCATCCTTTGTTTTTGTCTAGATGCGTGCACTTCGGCGTGGAGGCTGGCGGCGGCGAGTGGTGTTCTGCCGCCGACGAGGCCTGTGGTGGAGCCATCCTCCAGGCTACTCCGGCTGAACAGGTAGGTTGAAGCTTATCGTTTGTTGGTTAAATTTACTTCTTAGGCCTCAGCCTCGAGTTTAGCGGGCAGCGGGGCGGGAGCGGCGGCGGCGCGGGAGCGGGGCGGGCAACGCAGACCCGTTCTCGAAACAAGCGGGCAGCTCGCGCGGCGCTTTAGCGGCGAAGTGTTGTGTTCNCTTGTCACAGGTGGTCACATTTCTGAGACCCCCCCTCCCTAGTGTGACGTCACATGTTTTGCAATTTCACATCGAAAAATTATTAAATTGACAGCAGTTTCGAAATTAGTTTTATTTCTATTTAAATTAAGTATATTTTTTTAATATGAAATCAACATTATATCAAATATTTGAAACAATTGAAATGTGATGTCACGAAACTTAGGACCCCTCTCACCCCTTGTCACACCATGTCACACTTTGTCAACCCCCTCCCCCCCTCTTTACGTGTGACGTACTTTATGGATGACCCCTAACATCATTCATCTCATTATTATCAGATCATATAGGCAGGCCCCCCACTAGGTGGACCGACGATCTGGTGAAGGTCGCGGGAAGTACCTGGATGCGGGCAGCGCAGAGCCGGTCGTTATGGACATCCTTGGGCCTTTGTCCAGCAGTGGACGTCATTTGGTTGAAATGAACAAATCATTTAGCCTCCACTTCAGGAGGACGACCCTCTCTTGTTTACCAGAGGCAAATGGAGGATTTGATTTACACTTCTCAAGTTCAAATCAGACATCATTTGTAGACTTTCATCACTTGTAACTAAGTCTGTATTTACCTATGTCATCATCATCATCATTTTAGCCACAGGACGTCCACTGCTGAACATAGGCCTCCCCCAATGACTTCCACATCGCACGGTTGGCCGCGGCCTGCATCCAGCGCCTTCCTGCTACCTTTATCAGGTCGACGGTCCACCTTGTGGGTGGACGTCCCACGCTGCGTTTTCCGGTACGCGGCCTCCATTCCTATGTAATTATCGAGAAACCTCGAAAAAATATCACTCCACACGTTCACAATAACACTGCAAATAAATATTTGAATTTGAAGATTATTTCTCTATTTCAGACTAGCAACTCACCACAATCATCGAACTACTTATCTTCGAGACACGCGCGCGACGACAAGGACAGAGGTGGGGGGACTTCCAACGAAGCGCACAGTCACAGCACTCAGGTACTGATCGTTTAAAATTTTGAACCACGAATACGAAGTCTTCTGATTTTTTGCATTCGTAATTTTAAAGGAAAAGATTAACTTATTTTCAGTTAATATTTAATGCTACCTATCCTTTAGTAGGATAGATAACCATGCATTGATGTTTAGTCATTTAAAAGATTCATATCTAGAACCGCCACAAAAACCTATCGGCCAGTATAAAGGTATTCCTCGTATATCAACGGATAAAACCCGATCGAGCAAAATGCGCTCCTCGCTGGAATGCGACTCACCCTTCGCGCGCCCGCGCTTCTCCCGTCCAGAGCGTCGATGTGACGTCACTGCAGCCGTGTGCGCAGTTAACTCGACCGGGTTGTACAGATACGAGTATTATTAGGGTCATAGNAGCACGCACATAAGTATAACTATACACTAGTAACAAACTATTCACATACTTGCAATTGCAGAGGTCCCGGGTTCGATTCCCAGTGGTTGCAGATTTTTCTGTTCAGTTTGGTTGGTGGTAGGGCTGTTCTAAGTCCGCCTGGCTAGCTACCACCATCTTACCTAAGTCTGTCGTCATAACAACAATGTTAACAGCATTGTTGTGTTCCGGCAGTTAAAGAGGTAAGATAGCCAGTTCCTCCGTGATTGAGGATTTCGGTTGAAGCTAGCACCTTCGGCCTGATCGT